GACTGAAACCTTCCAAATGAATTGCAGCTCTCTATATTGTTTCTTCATGGCTGAATCAAGTTGAAAACTAAAACTTAATGAGCCAGCAGTTTGCTCTTGCAACTTGGAAAGCAAATGGTATCCTGGGCTCCATCAGAAGAGGGGTGGCCAGCAGGGACATGGAGGTGGTTGTCCTTCTCTACACTGCCCTTGTGAGGCCCCATCTAGAACACCATGTCCAGGTCTGGAGCCTCAATACTGGAAAGATAGAGAGTTGTTGGGGAGAGTCCAGAGGAGAGTCATATAAACATTCAGGGGGCTGGAGCACCTCCCCAGCGAAGATAGGCTGAGGGAGCTGGGCTTGTTCAGTCCAGAGAAGAGAAGGCTGTGGGGACCTTACTGGAGCCTTTCAGTACCTAAAGAGAGCCTACAAACAAGAGGGGAATCAACTCTTTACCGGGATAGATAATGGCAGGACAAGGGGAAATGGCTTTAAGTTGAGGGAAGGAAGATTTAGGTTGGATGTCAGGGGGAAATTCTTTACAGAGAGAGTGGTGAGGTGCTGGAACAGGCTGCCCAAAGAGGTTGTGGATGCGCAAGGTGTTCAAGGCCAGGTTGGACAGCCTGGTCTGGTATTAAATGTGGGGGTCGGTGGCCCTTCCTGTGGCAGAGAGGTTTCATGATCCTTGAGGTCTCTTCCAACCCTGGCCATTCTGTGATTCTAAGAAAAATGTAAGTGTTAGAATGAGCTGTGACAACCTTCACCATGATTCAGTTAAGACCTTACGAGGAAACTACCTGCACACATACAAAAGGAGTATTTGGCCTCCAAAAAGCTAAGCTTTGCTTAGGAGATTGTACTCCCACAAAGACAGGGAGTTCCAGATGTTGTTCAAGCGTAGTACAGGCCTTGTTTGGATGCTAGGTGTGTGTCTCCTTTTACTTCAGCTGTTCTCATATACTGCACAAGAAAACAATTAGGAACATTTTATTCCTATGGCTATAGGAAGGTCCAATATTCTCTAGCTGAAAGTTGTTTGAATGTTCAAGCAGAATCAGTGCTGTCTGAGGGGGAACACAGACAAAGCAGACAAAAACAGTAGAAAACGAAGTCTAACCCTTTATTTCTACTGGAAATTCCCTCCTGGAGCAAAGTGAAGAAAGTGGAAAGCATGCATTTCACTAGCTATTGCAGCATTAAAACTGTAGGAGGGGTTCTGACTGGCTCCCTGCTGAATAGGCAAAAATAGAGTGTAAGATTGTTAAAGAATCTAGAAAACGCAGTACCAAAAGCAACTACCAGCATCTATCTCTTCTTGAAAGTCAACTCTATTTTAGTTTTAAAAGACTGTTACCAAAAGACTGTCTTGCTAAAATTACCACAGATGCTCACGTCTGCAAATGGTCCCATTGCTGCTCTCTCATATGCATGCAAATAAATAGACTTCATACCATCATTAACATACTTATATTTGCATGAGGTTGGACACTTGGAAGCAAAGATTAGATTTTCAATGGCAAAGAAAAAGAATGTATTTAATATTTTTTTAAACATCAATCAGTTATACTGGAAGGATTTAAGTAGAAATGAATGTACTAGAATATGAAATATATTGTTAATTTTATAATGAAATATAGTCTTGCATTATACATGGTCTCTATAAACACTAACATTATGAGAGAGCAAATGGGTTAGTATCAGCCAAGCACAAGTCAGGAAAAGATCAAACTCCATTTCCACACTGAAGTTTATCCTCTGTCCCCTGTGTATGTGCATTGCTGTGAGATCTTTGACATTAATATCTTATGTCATTTTTCCAAGCAATAAATTGCAGTAGTATATATCTTTTTAAAAAATACTTAATTCACAGATATAGACACACGTATAATGGAGTCTTGCTGTCTGCAGGTCAGCTTTCTTCTTTGGAAAGGAAAAACAAAATAAAGATAGAACCTAAAAGCTGTGGTCTCCTCTGCAAGATTTCAAAGCTGGGCAGATCTTCAGAGTAACAGCAATATAGAAATATAAATATATCTAGCTATTCATTAACAGAGCTATTAATTAGTCTGAGGGGGACATTATTAATACATTTCTTTCTCTTTCTTGTGGTCAGGGAGGAGTTTCAGTGAAAAGCAGGAGAGGAATCTGTTGGATTTTTTTCACTCCACACCAGTTACTTCCTCAAGAGAGGAACACCCTCAGCTGAAAAGCATCCTAAGCTCTAGTGGTATGAAACAAACAACTAACGCATCTATACATTCATTCCTAAATTTAAGTAGATACCTAAACCCCATATGCTTTGCCAGTTCCAGCATAGTTAGCTATGAGATGGAATGTGTACGTGAGACACTAGGAGCAGAGCATTGGACAGTGCTGGGAGTAGTTCCTTGCTGAACACCATGCAATAATGAACCTCAGAGAAGAAATATTGAAAGTGCTGACACGAACATGAGGGAGGCAGTGGGGAGAATCACAGAATCATAGAATCACAGAATCACAGAATGGTCTGGGTTGAAAAGAACCACAATGATCATCCAGTTTCAATCCCCTGCTATGTGCAGGGTCACCAACCACCTGCCCAGAGCCACATCCAGCCTGGCTTTGAATGCCTGCAGGGATGGGGCATCCACAACCTCCCTCAGCAACCCATTCCGGTGTGTCACCACCCTCTGTGTGAAAAACTTCCTCCTAATATCTAACCTAAACCTCCCCTGTCTCAGTTTAAGACCATTGCCCCTTGTCCTATCACTATCCATCTCTGTAAACAACCATTCCCCCTCTTGTTCAGTGCTCCCTTCGAGTATTGGAAAGCCACAATGAGGCCTCCCCAGAGCCCTCTCTTCTCCAAGCTAAACAAGCCCAGTTCCCTCAACCTTTCTTCACAGGGGAGGTGCTCCAGGCCTCTGATCATTGAGAAAGGCACTAGAGAGGGAGCTGGATAGGCTGGATCAGTGGGCCAACGTAAACTGTATGAGTTTCAATTGAGCCAAGTGTCACATCCTGCATTTTGGTCACAACAACCCCAAGCAACCCTATAGAATTGGAGTGGCTGGAGCGGAGGAGTGGCTGGAAAGCTTCCAGACAGAAACAGACCTTGGTGTTCTGATGGACAGTCAGTTGAATATGAGGCAGCAGTGTGCCCAGGTGGCCAAGAAGGCCAATAGCATCCTGGCTTGTATCAGGAATGGTGTGGTGAGCAGGACTAGGGAAGTCATCCTGCCCCTGTACTCAGCACTGGTGAGGCCTCACCTCGAGTACTGTGTTCAGTTTTGGGCACCTCAGTACAAAAAGGACACTGAGGTGCTGGAGCAGGTCCAAAGAAGGGCAGCAAGGCTTGTGAAGGACTTGGAGAATATGGCCTATGAGGAGAGACTGAAGGAACTGGGGCTGTTCAGTGTGGGGAAAAGGAAGCTGAGGGGAGACCTTACTGCTCTCTTCCAATATCTGAAATGTGCTTACAGCGAGAGCAGGGTTGGTCTCTTCTCACTGGTGACAGGTGACAAGATGAGGGGAAATGGCCTCAAGTTGCACCAGGGTAAGTTTAGCTTGGATATCAGGAAAAACTTCTTTACAGATGGAGTGGTTAAGCACTGGAATAGGCTCCTCAGGGAGGTGGTTGAGTCAACATCTCCGGATGCATTAAAAACCATTGGATGTGGTGATCAGGGACGTGATTTAGCGGAGGGCTGTTAGAGTTAGGGTAGTATGGTTAGGTTGACGTCGGTCTTGATTATCTTTAAGGTCTTTTCCAACCTGAGCAATTCTAAGATTCTGTGACATGCAGGTCATAGGATTTCGCATGTATAAACTCCTGCCATGTTACTGGTTCCAGTATCTCAGCCTGTTTACTTAAATTAAAAAAAAAAAAAAAAAATTAGAAAAAAATCTCATATATTCCAAAGTCTATGATAAGAAACACTAACAGTATTAATCCATTTCCACAAACAGATACAGTAAAAGCATTGCCAATAAAAGTTCACAGTAAAGATAGTCAATATTGGAATAAAGAATTGCCACAGGAAGGTCCTAAACTCCAGGTTCATTTGCTGGGATGCCTTCAGCTTGGACCAGCAAGCCCTATAATAGAGCAACATTTCCCCCATCAGCAGGTCAGGACAAAAGGCATATTTCATGCTCACGTTGCTGACCCAGACCTCTGGCTGAAAGGGAATGATATTAATGTGCTCTGGAGTAGGTTTATCTGACTCTCAATCAGCAAGCCGTTAGCCTGACAAAAGGGTCAAAGTAGGGAGTATAAAACACACTGGTATAAGAATGATCCATGGGATTTCCAGAAAAGGCTTGGAAGAAGAGAGTCTGTGGCACTTTAATTATTTTTATTACCGTGATTGACTTCAAAACAGCAGCAGCTCAGGAAAAGAAATGGGAAGGTAAAACCTTGACCTGATTGAAATTGATGGGAATTTTATTACTGACCTCACTGAGATAAAACGTGACTTTTCCCTAAGTTTAAGAGAGTACCTGCTTGTTTTGAGCACTTAAATACTGCATGATATTATTCAGCCTGGAGAAGGCTCAGAAGAGGCATCACAGCAGCTTTGCAGTACTTAAAGGGAGCTTTTAGGCAGGATGGAAATCAACTTTTTACACATTGTTATAGTGATAGGACAAGGTTTTAAGCTAAAAGAGGGAGATTTGGATTAGATGTTAGTGAGAGAGTGGTGAGGCATTGGCACAGGCTGCCCAGAGAAGCCGTGGGTGTCCCATTCTTGGAGGTGTTCAAGGCCAGGTTGCACTGGCCCTGGACAGCCTGAGCTGGTGGGAGGCAGGGACTGGGGCTAGCTGATCTTTGAGGCCCTTTTCAACCCAAGCCATTTTATGATTCTATGAAGATAGCCAAGAATTTCAGTGAAACTGAGAAATTTCCCCGATTTCCTTTGCAAATTAGGCTGTCAAATCAAAAAGCATGGTTTCTCTCTTTGCTGCTGGGTGTGATTCTCTATGAGCCTGATTACACTGATCAGCTTTAATTGCCCTGACCAGCCTCACCTGGAACCTCCACTGCACCTCTGCTCCTGGGCCTAGGATCTCCATTTAAGTTCAGCCCCGAGCTCTTGCTGTTTCCCTAGTTTGTTTAGCGGTGTTTCTGTGGTGGAGCTGGTTTGTTTTCTAATTTAATTCCAGCTTCTAGATACATATCCCACAAAGGAGACTTGCTACTGATCTTTGCCTTGCTGTTTCTGACCACTGTCCTGGCTGGGCTTGGAACCTGAAACCTTAGATTTTTGGAGGTTGTCATTTGATAGTTTGTAGTAATTGTGGCCAATGTGATCCTGACCAGGAACAGCGTGGTTGTATGCTGACTGGAAGATTGCTACTGGTGCTCTGCTCAGCCTTTGCTGCTGGCTTGTCTCTGTTTGTGGTGTATCTCTGTTTCTGCTGTATCTGTAGTGTTCCTCCCCAGAATGAAACACCCAGTTGAAGCTGATGCTGCTGACAGTGGAAGCCTTTTCTGGTAAGAAATTTATCATTCAGTAGGAATAATGCAGTAGAGAAAAGCATTGTTCAGGTCTACTTATGATCTTTCTGCTTTGTTAAAGTTTTATAAAAACTATGTTATTGATAGAGTCAGTAGTTTCTTTCATTATTTCAGAAAGAAAATGGAAGCTACAGACTTCTAATGCACTTTTGCTGGAGTAGTGACAGTTAATTCCATATATAGCAATTGTTATCTGGAGGACTTTGATAACAATAAATTCATGTTATGTACTGACATTGTTGGCTGCTTTCCTATGTGGAGCGGTAGCATTTGTGCTGCTTGGCTCATTTTAAATAAAGCTATTATACCTAGGAAAACATAGAAGTTTAGGTGAAATAAATAAAAGAAAACAGTTTTACAGAAAACAGTTGTATCAGTATGCAAACGTGTTCCTTGTCAGAGCATTATGTTCCATCCTTTAAAATGTTTGGAAACTAATGCACATTGAGGGATACAAATGCATAGCAGACAACTGGTAATTGGATGCAGGGTGCTTCATTATTCCAGCAGGCTAAGAACTACAATTCCAGGTCAGTAGACTCATGTTTATTTTCTGGTTTCATTGCCTTTTCAAATTACTTATCTCAGTGAGAGATGTTAGCCCTGCTTCTCCACAGGGTACACCTTAATTTAGAGGCTTGTATTCTGTTCCTGTGTATGCAGTAGTCTATATGTGTCTCCCTCCTTCTTCCACGCACTTCGGTGCTCTGAAGGCACTCACGTATTTAAGTCTTTTCTTTACTTCTAAGGGAGCTTTTTAGGTAGTGTTCCACTGAAAGTGGAATAGTACTACTTCACTGTCAGTTCAAGGTTCCCAGGGCTTTCCTTGTTTTCTTAATGTACACCAGAGCAATGACAGCACTGGTCTGTTTTCTGGGGAGGATTGGAGTAGCCATTGCCATTCCTCTGTTGAGCTGTTTATTTTCTGTTTCCCTAGTATCGCACTGAGAAAGTTGGATTCAGTAGTGTCAGTTCAGTGATTGGAACTGACGTATTCAAACCATTGTGGTTTTTTCAAGCAAAAATTAAAAAAAATCCAGTTGTTGGTTTTTTTCAACTTGCCTTTTTAAATTTTCTTTACTCTGACATTGTGGTAGGTGGTTACCCTTATTAGCTGTCCTTAAAGCTGCTAATGTGCTTGTGGCAACCCATCCCTATTAACATTTTCAAGTAATCATTAACAAATTAGAACTGCATGCTTAAGATGTGGATCTCCATAAATTCAGCTTTCTGCTTCATTGCAAAATTACTGGTGTATCAAAGAGTCTGGACTACAAATTCCAATAGTTGCCTTATATGAAAAATATCCAGTGACATGTTTGGTCTCCAGGCCTTGTATGTCTTCTGCTTGTACATTCCTGAGGGGAAGGGTGTTTTATACTGATGGTGTGAAAATGAGACAAGTTTCTGACAAAACTGTATCTGTATCAATAGATACAAAGCTGGTATTCAGTAAGACCTCCAAGAATTTCTCTTCTGCAATTTTTCTCCAATAGCTGAGTAAATTCACACAATGTCTTATCATCCAACGCATCCCATGACAAGAGTTTCCACAGCATGTAAGTTTCTCCTTTCATTTTGAAAATGGCACATTTCTTTTCTTTGATGTCTCTTTGTTCTCCTATCACAAGAGATGGGCAGATTGGGAGTGGTAATTTGCTTTTCCACATCAATAGCAATTTCAGGCACCTGTTGTATGCTACTTTTCAGTTCACTCTAGTCTGAAGTTTTGATATAATCTGCTTTTTTTGTGTGAAAGATGTAATATCAGTTTGACTGTGCTTGTCTCCCTGTGGATATCTTTTGTAATTATATTGTATTATTTATAAGTAGGAATGGTAGGACTTGTGGTCAGCGTGCTGCAGAGTTGTAGAATTGCATGGTATTCTTGCAATAAAGAATCCACTCAGAAAATAGGTTGAGAAATAAAATCTTATGTCAGTTTGAAGTTCAAGTGCACTCTGTCTTCTTGCTTAAAGAGAGACCAAATCTACAGACCATCTACCAAGTTAGGGGATTTACTCATTAACACAAGTAACTTCAAACAGCTTAAACTGCCTTCATTTAAACTACTATTCAATCACAGAATCACCCGGGTTGGAAGGGACCTCAAGGATCATGTAGTTCCAACCCCCCTGCCTAGCAGGGCCACCAAACATACACATTCAGATCAGGTTGCCCAGGACCCCGTCCAACCTGGCCTTGAACACGTCCAAGGACGGGGCATCCACAACCTCCCTGGGCAGCCCGTTCCAGGGCCTAACCACTCTCCTTGTAAAGAACTTCCCCCTAACATCCAACCTAAATCTTCCCTCCCTCAACTTGCTTCCATTTCCCCTAGTCCTGCTGTTGTCAGCCCTTTTGAAGAGTTTACTCCCCTCCTGGGTGTAGGTTCCCTTCAGGTATTGATAGGCTGCAATGAAGTTCACCCTGCAGCCTTCTCTTCTCCAGGCTGAACAAGCCCAACTCCCTCAGCCTGACAATCAACTCAATTCAAATACTATTCAATCAATTCAGCACTTGATCAAACTGAAGTTAAGTCTAGGGCGATAGAGGACTGAAATATTCTTTATAACAATCAGAGATTCATAAATCTTAGAATAATTCTGTAATTCTTCAGGTAAATACAAATCCCTTAGCCTGTATTTATGTGCTATCTGTATTTACTGTTGAGCTATGGATGTGCTCAAGCCCTTGAGTTGAGTACTTTGCCAGAGCTTTGGCTGCTTGTTTGCACTACTGAAGTTCTCATCTAGGGGTAACTGAGGCAATTTAACCTCAGAATTAAGAAATTTTTCATTTATTTTGCTTTATTTAACACTAACAGAAATGAGCAACACTGATGCCAATTGGCAGATTGTAATTTTTCTGCAAGCTTTTAACATTCAAATTCCCGCTTCCTAGTAGTTGCTTTTTGGTTTATTTTGTTTGTTTGTTTTTCAGGCTGGCACTGATTAAATGAAGAGTCTAACTTGATGGGGCAGGATGGGTTGAAACTGTGCATTTACTTTTGTTGTAAATTTTGATGGATAAAGAGAGAAACTCTACCCCTGGCATTGTCAGCCTCCCATCTTTGTACACCGGGTAAAAAGATTCCCTCACAGTTAGCAGGGGGAGTAGGAAACAGGACTGTGATCCAAAATGTTGCTTAGGAACAATTTCCATCGCTTTATCACATTCCTTTCTCTAATAACCACTTAGTGAGCTAAGTCATCAAAATGGAGAATGGTTTTCACAAACTGAACTTCTGACGTGATTACCATGCAAGAAAATGATCATGCCGTGCCCTGATGCCTGTTTGAAAGGCTGTGGAGTTTTAGTAATTCTGTGAGGAATGTGTTCCTAAAGGAACCTGTTCTGAAAATAGCATCTGCAATAAAAAAATCAACTGCATAGTGAGTGCTAGAACTGCTGATTATCCCTTTATGCATGAAGTAGATTAGTTGTTAGGCAACAGAGCATAGATGAGAAAGAAGGATTAGGAAAATGGAAAGCAGCCCCCACATTTATGGTTGCTTATATGGTAAACAACACCGCTCCTCCCTGCACAGGTTTTCAATTGTTGCTTTTCTATTGGTAAATAAATTACCTAAATGTGAAGATGTTGTAGTTCTGACATACAATAACCAATTCCCGGTTTGGAAGCTATGCTGCCTTCTGAGAATGCTTTCTTTTCATTTGTTAGCAGTACATCTCCAACATCATCACTATCAAAATGAGATTTTTTTCAAATGTTTCTATTTTTGTCTTGTTTGTTGACCTGCAGCTGACTTAAAGTTAATTGTCTGTCTGGATGTAGTATATTAATTTATGAATGTCAAAAAGTTGACTTATCCCGATGCTCAGATGACAGAGGACAACCCCTGTTAAATGGTTGAGTGGTCAGATAAGCCACTAATCTAACTAATTTTGTAATTGATTACAGATCTAAGAATGGCAAGCAGGAATAACTAGCATTTTCCAACTTAGTACATCTTACTTCATCTCACTGATGTCCCAAATCAGCTGAGATGGACCATATGAAGTTCAGCAAGGAGAATTGTGAAGTCCTGAATCTGTGAAGGAACAATTGCATGCACCAGAACGTGCTGAAGCCACCCATTTGGAAAACAGCTGACAGAAGGCCCTGGGGATCATCGTCTTTGTGAGGTTAGCTACACTAAGCTGTATCAGTACTGACAGTTTCACTTCAATTGGCTTCTAGGAAAATCTTTTATTTAATAAAAAAATCAGCTGGAAGTCTTTAAATTTAATCTCAAAGCTAAATTTTTGGCTCTGAGTATGGCTGTCTGACACATACATGAGATACCATTGACCATATTGATGTGTTGGGTTTTTTTGAACAGCAAATTGTTATTTTGACAGTCACTGGTTCTGCTCATCTTATTGAGCAATTGAAGCTGGAAGTGGGAGACTTAGTGTTTTTCATGGGATTCTGTTACTTTTCTATGAAGCATTTAAGCTGAAAACTTGCTCCATCCTTTCCCAAAATAGCCAAGCTTAAGAAGCCACAAAGTAGAAAACAAGGTGCCATCCATCTTTCACATCCACCACTTCAACCTGAACCCTGCAGGCCCAGCCCTGCTTGATGAGTGAGAAGCTACTGCCTATGAAGAGGCTGGTGAGTTATTCACTTCTGTTATCCCATGCACAATCCCTCATTACCAAAACATTATTTGAGTCTTATGTTGTTCATCCAGACTGAGGAAGGCCACACCTAGCTGCCTGAATTACAATGCTGACTATATACATATAAACATTTATTTGCCTGGGAGAAAATAAGCTGGAGGGGGGGGCTTTGAGGTTTTCATTTTTCAAAGGCATAAATTAGCGATAGCTACAATTATTGTTAAAGTCTTACTATAGTTATAGACATTAAGCCACTAATTAAAATTTGATACAACTTTTTTTCCCCACAATTTGGAACTACCCTGTTTGTTTCTTTTCATAAAATTCACCAAGCTGTTGAAAAGAGCAGTAGAAGAAGACAGGAGACTTGAGGGGGAAAGGGAAAAAAAAAAACTTGGCTTATGTTTGCTGTCTTCTAAAAAAAAAAAAAAAGCTGTTGATTAAAATAACTGGTTCCCAAAGCCCAAGCTCATGCAAATTTTAAGTATCATTTAAGTGATTTTTAAAGAACTTTCTCCACATTGTGGTCTATCCTATCTCCCTTTGTGCTCATTACTTACCTTTAGCTTTGCAAGCTGTAATGTTGTACTCAGTTAAGATTGTGTAGTCAGTGGCATGGTAGAGAATGCAAAGAGAATTTGGTTTGGAATAAGTTCTTTTATTCTCAGCTGAGAAAGTATGTTAGAATAATATTGGCAAATTATATCTAAGCAAAATCTAGTACAAGTACAGAGGACTTTACTAGCAACTTTTCGTTATATTCTTATTCCAATAGACATAAGTTCTTCCTTATCATGTCATCCTGAACTTCTAGACAAAGTGCCAGTAACCGTGACAATAATGATGAAGGCTGTATATTGAGATTGGTGAAATAAGAATCTATCATTTAACTAAGACATGACTGTTCACCTGAAATCTTTACTATGGTTTCTTATTCTGCTCTAGAAAATACAAGCATATGCATAACCTAGCTACAACACATAATATCAAAAGGCTGGTGCAGTTTGTAGTTTCAACAGTTGTCAGGTCAAGGAAAGTTTAAAGTGCTGGTCATTTACCTAACAAGGTGCATTCTTGCTAAGCTGATGAATGTAAGACTCTCATAGAAAGAATCTTCACTGATTCCTATTCGTTAAATGCTAGACATCTGGAGATTAAAAACAAAACAAAAAAAATCTGAAGAAGATGGATCCCAATGGGATACCTGTACTTCAATTATCAGTTGTACATCTCTGCTATTTTGCTATCCCTCTACTAAAAAAAAAAAAAAATCTATAAAATTAAGCTAAACTAATAGGAAGGAAATACAGAAGAGTGGAGAGAGGCAGAATGTGGAAAATTATTCAGCTGGAATGACATACAAGTACATACACTGCTTCAGGCTCAGGCAAAAATGTTGGTAAGCCTAAAACCAACTACCTTTGTGTTGCATACGTACTTCTACACCATATAATGGAAATGAAAGATCATAGGTTTGAAAGTCTTTGAGATACAAGACTGTGGTAGAAAAGATGACTAGTACTTTGAATGTGTAAATATGCAAAGGTTAACCTCTGGGCTTGGGGCTCTTAGGAAGAAATATGTACAGTCCAAAAAAACAAGGAAGAGGCAGAGTGGAGCACCCTGAAGAGTTAAAGTGAACTTTAGTCTTTCACTGATCACCCTCTGGTACTGCGTCTTCATAAATTTCCTCTGTTTATGGAGTGTTTTTGATGGCTAGCAATTCTTTGTTGAAAGTTAAGTGCTCTTTTATATGAATAAATAAAGAAGACTTTGGTTTGAATGAATACATTATTTTGACAAATGTTTATTGGAACCCCAATTATGGCTTCATAAATCAGTGCTATCTGTGGTACATCAGGTGAGCTCACCAATGCCATCAAATACCACATTGAATATTAGTAGGATACTTAAAACAACTCTGTTGAATGTTGTCCCTCTTACTTAGGCCTGACAGTAGTCAAAACAGGAAGAAATTGTTTATTATTTTTATTTAACTTATTAAAATACTTCTTGTAAGATGTAATGGACCTAAAAAATGTTCTTTAAAAAAGAAAGAAAAAACATTTGTTTTCAATTTGCAGTTAGAATAAAATGACAAGGTCAGATGCAATGCATAAACTGAGTGGCAGCTGAATTTTAAGAGTAGTCAGGGAACAGAAAGGACATGTATAATATCTATTGTTTGAACTTTACACCTTGGTGAAGTGGGGGTTTATTTGTTTGGACTGAGTGGCCTCTGATGGTATGAAGTGTGTCTATAACCAATCCATATGCTTTCTTGCCTTTCCCTCTCTGCTACAATGAATTAGGATGACCTAATGAATTAGGATGATATTCAAAGTCATTGAATTCATTGATTAAGAGGAAAATATTGAATGCAAGGTCAGGAAGAAAGGAAGGGTATTCAAACTGTGGGGAAAAAAGTCTACAAGGGATATGCTGACAAGAATTCACTTTTCTTCAAGATCATCTGACTGATAGTGGCAAAATGGAGATTTTCATTTTGGTATCTTTGGTAGGGTACCAAAGATCTGCTTAAGCTTTATGAAAAGAACCCATATGGCTTCCCAAAGGATGTGTTCCAAAGTTTAGAGTAAGAATGAACTTGGATCCTCAAGAACACACAAGCATAAAATGGGGAATGAAAGTAAAGTATAAGGTGTGTGTGTGCTATTGTGATATAAATTATGATATAGATCCCTTTGTTGCCGAATTAACTTCCACATAACATTCCTCTTCTGTAGCTCAGAAGAGGGAATGATGAGACATAAGGAGAATGCAAAAGGGGAGAAATAGAAGCCAACACACTGTACACATTTATTTTCATGGAAGAAAAAAAAAAAAGTGTTAAGAATCACATAGAGATATGACAGTGAAATACTTTCAGTTGGGATTTGTCAGTTTACTGAAAGGGAGGGAAAAAAAAATCACTAGGACAAGTTTGCTTTGTTTCAGCATAAACTAACCTCCAGCATAACTCAGGCTCCACGTTTCTGGCATCTGGCAAGCAGGCAGACAACCTGGAGGCCCCAGGGCTGGAAGCCTGACACTCAGTTTCTCAGATGCTCATGTTTCCCTAGAGATCTGCTTCCCAGATAATGTGCAAGATTCGAGGTCTTCTTCCAAGTAGTAGTTAGGAAAAGGAAAAAGTAGTTTTTCTGCAAGATGATGTTCTTACTTTCCTACCCTACCTTCCCGTAATCCCTTCCTCATGATTTCAGATGAACAAACAATAAAAGTGTAGACAGAAATAAAGGGATTTTAGTCTTCATTATTTAGGATCCTATTTATTTATTTATTGTAGAAAAAGAGTAGTATATTCACACTAAAATCATGTATTTTGCTGCCGAAGCAGCACAGAAAACAACTCTTCAGCACCCTAAGTATCAACCAAAGCATCAGCCCTCCCCCCAGAGTTTAAGAGATGTTTGCTGTCAATCAATAATTCTAACAGATTTTGTTCCTGGCAAAGTTTATCAGCTGTGCTTATCTCTAGTCTCCTTTCTCAAGCACTGTATCCTCCCTTTGCCTGTGGCTATGCTAATTAGAAATGTGAATTATCGGAGGAGAGAAGCCCATTTTTCATTACTCAAATTACTCAAAAAACCCAGCAGCTCTGAGAGACTTCACCTTAGGTTTTATTTCTGAAAAAGCTGTGGCTGGTGGCAAAGACTAAAGAAACTGTACCACTTCATACCTTGCATAGCTTCGTCCTTCAGTGGAAGCTAGCATTTAAGTATTGTATCCTGGAGCTCAGAGGATAGGAAAGCTTCAAGGAAGATAGCTCTTCCTTTATTTCTGAGACATGTGTTGCTGTCAGTAAATCACTCAAGATGCTATTATAGTCCAGAACAACAAACTGGCATTGCTCCTAAATAAGGGGTGTGTGAAAGATTAGCAGAACAAAAGCAATAAAGGAGTCATTAAAACACCTAGAAGATAAAATGCTTTAAAATAACTCCTCATGTTTTCTTGTAGCATGACAGTGATTGGGTCATAAATCAAAGCCATTCTTCTTCATGGGATGTTTAAGGAGGAGGCAGTGAAGTTTGTATCTATGCTCATTTATATAAAAACTGCAACTCTTACAGTAATGGGAAGAAACAGCCAGCTCACAGATCATCACCCCTCAATATTTCTCTTTCCTTCCATCAAGAGAATTAAGCCTTGCTTTTAACAGAATTAACATAAATAAACAGAATACGTTGGTAATGCTAACTTTCATTTGACTTGTTTTTAGCTTTTCCTATGTTCTACATGCACTGCTAAAAACTAAAACAGTGAATTGGGTCGGATGCATAAATAGATTCCTTTTAGAAAAAGTAACACTGACTAACACATAGAAAAATATTCATGTTATAAAGGTACTTTATATTATATCGTGGAAGAGTTATTCAGAACCAATAACTCCAGTGCTGCTTAGTAGAAATACATAAGAAACAAAGACAGAGAAGCACACTCTGCAGCAAGTTTTTGCTTTGCAGTCTGCACCAAAACCTATACTGATCATTGCATTATGAAATTTTGAAATCTACCAACTTCCATATTGTCTGCTCCCCTTCTGTCAACTTCGTCAAAAAGTGTCTGATGCTTGCAATAAGTAGTGGGGTGAAAATACTTGTAATAAACAGCAAGAAAAATAACACCTAACACCTGACTGAGAACAGTTAAGATGCTCACAATTGTAAGATGTACTTCCTTGATAACAGCAGGTTTCCAAAACAAACATACAAGCAAAATACCTACAGTTACAAGGGTGTGAGTAGCATAATAAATAGAAATGCAAGCTTTTGTTTTTCTCCCCTTTATGTTAAAAAAAGTAAAAAGTAGAATGATTCCAACAACAGTTCTGTACAGATATTCCATCTCTGTGGATTTGCAAAATGTTGTGTGCTGTTTCAAAGTCCAGGCAAAACCGCAGCTCCAAAGAAGTATCAGCAGAATTACGGAACTTCTAACACTCAGTAGAGTGATCAGTGAAATACTGAGTATCCAAGAAGTGATGGAGAACAGTTTATAGAAGAGATACACTAACTTGGGAAGCACTTGCAATTCCTCCTTATCAGGCAGAGATTTTCGTAGTGATATTTGATAATCAACCATTGAAAAGGAAATACCACAAAATGAAATAATAATGGCAGCATCTAAACAAAACGCAAAAACAAATGTTAGACTTAAGAAACAGAATTTCTTTTACATTAGAACTTCTGGATGTTTGGACAAGTATATGCTTTCTTTGCACTATCTTCATACCAACTTCATGTATCCTCTGTGCTCCTAAACAAGACACACTAATTTTGAGGCTCAGTTTAGTTGCCTAAATCTAGACATCTATTGTTATTTGGGATCTCTTGCTGTTTCTCATCTCATAAATGTGCACTGTGTTTGTCATTTGCACAGATGACTTAGAAACACTTAAGGTGTTGGAAATACCTTATACCCATACATAGTTGAGTTTGAGCAACTGATGTTGACAAAGATGCTATGGTTATGTATAGCATCTATAGCTGAGACTTGATCCTTCATGTGGTCATATTTAAGATGAGATTCATCTGAGCATTTTATCTCAGTACCTGTGAAGTCATGGACTGTCAAAGAACCCTTCCTAACAGGGCAGATTTCTTCAGACTGAAATTTTAATGAAATGCAAAGCAATTATACAGTGAAGTATACATTTACCAAAATATTTTTAAAATAGTATCCAATAATATGAGTTATTGTATGGGAACTTCTGAATCACAGCCTGAACCTCTGATTGATCACCTGAGGCAAGTCAGCCCTGGGAGCACAGGTGAAGGCAATTCACCAGTGCTGCCGGAAGGGGTGGAGCCTGGCTCCACCTCTCCTAGACCCGTTTAAGAGCTGACTACCAGTAGGGAAGGATCTCTTCTGGAGATCCAGTCCTCTGGAGTTTCATAGCAAGCCCAGGATATGGGTAAGAATTCTATCTATTCTGTTTTGGTATAATAACTGCGTAGCTAAACTCTCTGTTGTATTTCTTAACTGTAGTATCTGTACATTTGTTGATTGTACAGTTATGCTTTTGGGTAAGATCCTCAACTTCCAAGTCACAGTGAAACAAATACTCACATTGATAGAAATTATGGTTGCTGTGTTCCATGAGTACGTAAATCTGAACAAAGAGCTGTGGTGTGGTCTCAAGGAAAGTCTTGAATACCCTGAGCATGTTAATATCAGTCAGTACTTCAATAGCTTGTTTATGAATGATGTTGGGAGGGTCTGTTTCTGATATATCTCCACTGCTGTCTTGTCTAAAAGCCGCTTGGCAGCCATACTTCAAGGCAAACCAATATCTATTTAAAAAGGGGGGGAAAAAAATGAGAGAGACTTGGTTAGACCATGTTTTTTAAAGTACAATTCTATAAATTTATATTGGCTAACAAATTATTTTCCATTTCATTCTTCATATTTTATCTTTGAATGTACCTTCTGCTAAGATAAAATCTGGACCAGTATCTGACTGGTGTTGGTGATATCAGATATTCATTTATGCCCACTGATACTGATGCAATGTAAAACCAGTGAAAGAGCAGGAGACTTGCTTGAATAAACATCATGAGTAGTACTTTGTTGGGTTTTTATATGTTGAAAGATAAAAAAAATTCTAAAAATTCCCTGAGCAGCTTTTCTCACTTTCTCTAAGATACTTATTTACTTTCTTTGTATTCTTCTAAGGGTATTAGTGAATACCAGCTGTGAATATCCAGTGCATATAGGTCTATAAACCCCGAGGATAATATCTAATGAACTACAAATATACAACAGGATTTCATCCAAAAAAAAAAAAAAAAAAAAAAGCTCCAGTGTTCTTTTCTAAATAGTCACAAAGACTCTAATTTCAGAAAACTACTTTCAAGACAGATGGATTTCCTGGGACTGCAGATTCTATTATCTAAGTAGTTTTACATAAACACAACATTTGCTTCAGCGAATGACTGCACCTGAATGACTTTTTATAGCAGTAATAGTTTATTTTCAATTAAGACTAAATGAAAATTTCTTCTAAGAGAACTGGAAACTCAAAAATACATGGAATTAGTTAGCCAGTTGACTGATTAAGTGAAGAACTTATTCTGTTCAGGATATCTCTAATGCCATGCTTGGAGATAAATAAAACCTAGATTTTTTTTCCTGTTTCCAAGGCTTTTGCTTCAGGCCTGAAGGAAGCTATAGCATGTCAGAAGGAAGGGAATAATTAAATTGTAATTTTAAAAATGTTTTGATAGCTAAGGAAGGAACCAGATCTTGTACATGGTAATTTTTACACCTGTGTTAGAAAAACAGGATGGTGGCTGTGACCTGATGAAGCACCAGAAATCCTGCTCCTGCAAATTATGGTATTTTTGTTGTACTTGATGGAGTCACTCATGCTTGGCCCTGGTGAATGATCTGGCTCATAGTACTGGTTCTCAAGCTAGGGGAGATAGAAAACTTTCTACCTGTGAGTGATGAAATGTGTCAGTTCCAGAGGAATGGGTTCTCACTGCCAATAGCCTACTGCCAGCCAGTTCTTTCCCATCATAAAGCAAAGCGATGCTTGCTGTCTTCTGGCAGTTACCTGATTTCAAGTGGCTGTGCAGGCAGTAGGCTAGAACTGAAGCACAGCAATAAGCACAAACAAGTCATTGCTAGCAGTAGGCTGTAAGCATTGTACTGGCTTTGCAAGGCCTTGAGAATTCTGCTTGTCTGGCTTAAGTGAAGTTTTCTTGACCTGCCTGCAACCTTTTTCCTTCATGTAGCCAAAATTGGCTTCCCTTGGATTTTCTGCAGAGGAAAAAAAAAAGGTATCTTTTTCTAACCGATTAGTTGATGTTTTTGTTTATTTTTGTGTGGCGCTGTCATGGTTTTACACGGGTAACACTAACCTGCTACTCTAAATTGAATGAGATATGTATGACTGGCATTATGACGTAGGAGAGAGAAAAACAGTTTTGGTTTGATAGCAGAGATCCTGAAATGTGGAGATGCAGGAGAGAAAGTAGCGTGTAGGATGATAAGGGATGTCTGGGCATGGGAGGCAACAAGGCTATAAACTAACCACTAATGGTGATGCGTGAAGCCACGAGATAATGAAAACAGTTTATGGGGATTGAAACATGGTGCTGCTATAGAAATATGCTTATTAATATGGAAATACAGCTTCCACACAAGGGGAGCAGAGGGGCAGCACTGAGCTCTGCTCTCTGGTGACAGTGACAGGACCTGAGGGAACAGGATGTCAGGAGAGGGTCAGGTGGAGGTTAGGAAAAGGCTATTCCCCAAGAGATTAATCAGTCCCAGTACTACAGCATATGTCCTATCTCATCAAATTACACCAATGAAGATTTGGGTGCCTGCTAGAATGTATAGTTCCATGGAAGAAGGATGTGAGAGACACCTGGTAGCAACAGTTGTCCCTTCTAAATTTTGATCAGGCAGTCACAATTTGCAGCTTTAAATAAATCTTTAATCAATAGAAATTTCTTCCTTGCTGCGCATTAAACTTAATCTTCCAAGTATCAAAAGGCTTGGATTCAATCCATGAAACTGAAGTGACTATGTCAATACCTTGGGGCAGTACATTTGCATTAAGAAAGCATGAGCAAGTACATGTTATGTTGTGACTTCTAACTCACAGTAGCCTTACAAACTTCCCACTTTCAATTAACTATCTGTACCTCTCTGACTTTGTACCTTAAATACCTTCCTAACAACTTCATTCTGCATATCTTCTCTTTTTCTCTTCACGTTTTTTAAAAATGACATGAAATGATACTGGGTTTAAGAGGTTGCTCTATTGTTTCATGTACTTATAATTTGTATCTACAAGTAAGCAAAAAATGTTTTCATCTGTTTAAAGCTGTGGGGCGTTTTGATCCTTGCTTGAAGCACCAAGAGGTACAGTAGCAGCTACCAATATCACAATGGCTGCTGCTGTGGCCTGCTGTTCTGACAGGAATGTTATTTCTTGATAAAATTTAGTCTTCCTTAAGTGTTCTTGACTGATGCTGCAAACTGCTATAAGTCAATGTATTCATATGCTGCTCCAGGGAAATATTCCCTTTTTCCAAATTCACTGATTGTGTTATCTTCTTAATGTTGGCTGTTATGCTTCAGTCTGTTCTCAATTCTATTAACATCTTTGGGACCCACTTAAATAGGTCAAGTTGAAAATAATTTTAGTTGGTATGACTAATACTTTAGCAACTCCATTTTGTCTTTAAAAACTCCGTTCAGAGAATAACATTTTGTATAAAATGTAATGGTATGTCAGTTATCTTTTCATTAAAATAAAGCCTTATTAGATAATGACTAGTTTTAATTTCTTTCTTATATATAATATTTGCATATATATGAATGTATTTATATATATTACTTCCACAATTATTATTTAGCACTGATATTGTGATTAAAAAACAAAACTGGATGAACTTCTATCAATCTGAGTGCTGTACAAACACAATACAGTGAAATTCCCTGTTTCAAAGGCAAAGCAAGAGGTATAAAAGGCATAAGAGAATAAAAAAATGAAGGAAGAGAGTTTGATAAAGTGTATTAATATCTTCCAAATTCAGACATCCTCAGTTCACTGGCTGAGTCAATATTTACTGTCTAGGCTCCCATTTCCCTCTTTGATGGGTGAAGAAGATAGGTTCCTGCCCTCTGGGTAAGCTCACCTTAACAGTTATGACCTGACTCTTGACAATATCTATTTTGACTGTATTGACTATAGAGATAAACCTGGGAGACTCACTGTCTGCATCGACTGGGTATATCAGATGACTGAGAAGGGGACAGGAGGGGAGTGTGCATGCATACACTTAAGAAAACAAATGAAATAGGAAGTATATAATAGCTGGTGACAAGGTACAAGCACAGGTGTCAGCTTGCTGATACCAACTTACACTTTATAGTGTGCATTATCACACTATTGAATTTTGAGGAGCAGCTCAGTTATATGTGTCAACCTGGGAACTTTTTCCATGCAGAAGCAGCAGCATAAGAAAAAACACAATTTGCCCAATAGAGAAAAAGAGGACCAAGACAGCCACATTGCACTGACTGCAGAAGACAAAATTACATTTACTAGATAACAAACTGCTAAGAGAAGGTGTTGCTCATTGTATGAAGGAAACAGTGAAAATGTGTGATTAAAATTGAAAGAGTAGGAAATAAAGTAATCCATTGAAAATGTGCCTGGAGAGGCAATGTTTTGAATAGATGAATTGATGTAAGAGTTAAATCAAAATTATATCACCAAGAACTGTACATGATCAGAACTTAAATCTGAATGTTGAAGAGGAGAGTTTTTAAAGATAGGCACAAATCAGAGGGAGATTTTAGGGGCAACCTGGGTGTGTTAAACCAAAGGTGAAACCAGAATTGAGTACAAATCATGGAGAATGATGTCATTGTAGAGAAAGGGGAAGAAGGGAGGCTTACCATATGCCACTGCGGTTGCTGGTTTAACATTTATCATGAGTTATAAGAAACTGATGTCAGAGCCTTAATTTCCTTTGGAAGAAACAAGCTCAGAGTAACTGAAAACTGAAGATTAAGAGCCTTGGAAATGGACAAAAAGGGGGGTGCTTCAGCAGGCCCTGAGACATCTCCCTAAAAGGCAGAATGTGGTACAGTTCCTGTGGCTGGATCTTTGTACCTCACTCATGAACCAAACTGTGCTGAACACAAAGCCATTCAGAAAAATTAAAGAGGGATTTTTTTTTGCCCTTCAAAATGAAGTATTTTAAAGCTTTTCTAATGCCTGACACCAAAAAAATTAAACTTGGCAGTAAGTGCTCCTCTGTGAAGTCTAGGGCTTCAGGATTGTATGAGGAACAGCAGGAAAGTAAAGCTGGTGAGCAAAAGAAAAAAGAACATTGAGAAGTAAAAGTTAACTGTGGTGAGCAAAACCTTCAACATTCTCCTTAAGCCGTGATAACAAAATGAATAAAATGTGTGTGCAAGGGGAAGTTTTACATTGACATAAGTATACATTTCACTACTTTCCTTTAATTTGTATAGGAATTTAAAGCAGGCTTTTAAAATAAGAATTTTATTAAGTGTCTCTGAGGAGTCTTTATCTTCCTGTGTTTATTGCATGTAACTTACAGAAAATAATTAAAATTCAGTTCCTCAGGACTTTTCACTAAAAACTTTCAAATCATTTTGAAAACAAAAGTCAAACCTTATCCCAAATGATTTCTGTAGTGACAGTGATAATTCTACAGCAATACCACCACAGAAGTTAAAGAATCTTACATGTGTAATATCCTAAACTTTTTCTGGATGTGTACCTGCCAGGAAACAAAGGAACCAATCACCATTAACTCGGTCCCTATAGAATGTATCCTTCTTCAGTATTTAAGAATTCATTTCTCTCCCAAATCTTGTGGTTTTCTAAGTATTGATAGGCACTTGGATCTACAAATTAGCTCTTTCATCAGCTTTCTCTCCTACTTAGTGTAACCAAACGAATTCTCTTCCTAGCGTCACTTTAACTACTTACATTTCTTTATCAGTTAAGGCAGTATTTCTCTGTAAAGCAAGAATTGTTTATAAATACACCTGATCAAAAGGTTGATGAATCAAATAGATTATTATTGGTAAGTAAAATTAAATAGAAATCTGCATGTGCAGCAAAACCTGACATAAGCATAAGCAGCAGTATACACTTATATGGACCAATGATTGTTAACACAAATATCCCTGAAGCTGTATTAACATGACAGCCTGCCACTGGATTTTCTTTTTAAGAAAGGCTAAAAGCAGTATGATTTTTCATTTTAAACTAAAAACAAACAACAAAAAGACAAAGCTTACCTTATAAAAATTCCACAGTGGAAGAAATGAGCTAGAAAGATCCAATCTAGCTTCCTAGGAGCAGTACCTTTCCAGTCATTTTTAAACCATTGATAACTGAATATCTGAGTTATTAGTGATGAAAAGCCCCTAAAACAGAGTATCAGTATAGCCCAACAATATTGTCCCTCATAGAAATATTTACTAGCAACCCAGAAATCCACTCCAATATCAGCTATGTAAACTACAATTCCACCAACTAAAAAAATAAAATTCCATTTGGTAAATTTCATCATGCATTAGATTGTCACTGTTGTCATTCTGTCCTCATTTTATGTGAAGGAAATTCAGAATAAATCCAAATGCTTTCCTACAGCAGAGTCCTTTTTCCTGTTTGTAGTGTTTTATGCAGGCAAAAGTTGGTTACGTGTTTTTATTATGGCAAGTTAAAAGCACTACTTCCATTTTCCCATGTTCTTGATTGAAATATTAAGCTAACTTCTTTGATGCGTGCCTACTCTGTAAATTGTAAATCTATTTTGTCTTTGTAGTTGGTTCAGTCATTCTTCTTTACTGGTTCCTAAACAGAAGAAAAAGGAAGATCATCAGCGACAATATTTTTTTTTAAATTGAATCACAGCAATTTCTTTTTAAGTTGTCACACTTTGCATATAAAGAATGTGAATCAGAATTTACTGAGATATCTGTGAACAATTAGTGTAAAAGAAGCTGCACCTCTGAACACCTCATGGTCACCCATCCTCCCAACCACTGTGATTCTTTGCCTTATTAAGCAGCTTCTGAGACAACTTTTAATTGCAACAAAATACCAAGAAACAAGCTTACCTCTAATCACTTTTGAAGCCAGTTTATGGAAAAAAAGAGCGACTCCATCCCAGAACTTGAACTTGCAAATGACTCACAACGTGCAAGGCTGAGAGAACTCCTGTCCTGAGTACACAGTGGTGTATCACAGTACACGTCACTATGCCATTTCCATCTGAGTGGCTGACTTTGTGTGCATGCACCTCATGGTTTCACCTTTTATGCTCATTTGTCCCAATGCAGCAACAAAGTGCTGAGCAGGCCTGTGCTTCTTCTGTGAAGGAGACATGGAAGGAGCCACGCCTGCTCCTACTCCTCACTGACAGGCGTCTCACAGCCTGCATCAGCAGCAGCTATGTGTAGATGACCTAACCACACTATCTACCACAAATGGAATTTGTTCACAGTCCAAACTCTGTGTAGATTGCCTAACATAGCAAGGATTCTTGTGATCTTTCTGATTAGTCCTTCTACGGATTGGTGATATTTGACAGGCGAGTCATAAAAGCTATAAGGAAGTACATACATCCTTTCTCTCGTTCAGTTCCACTCTGCTAATCTGTAAATGTTAGAATTAGAGCATTCCCTCTTTTGTTTGCATTTCTCGGCTTCTGGCAGCAGTCCTAAGGAAGAAGAGGCAGGAGGTGCCAGAGCAGCAGGTTTGGTTCTTCCAAAACCCAAGGGCAGCAGGCCGTGCCATGAGGGCAACGGCATCATGGTGGTCCATGCAGGGCCAGCCTCCTGCAGATTTTTGTGAGTTTAGGCTCACCATCATAGAGGAGCAGGCTGGCACAGTCAGTTAACAGCACACTAACCTATGGAAAGGTAACAACTGTTCTAAGCTGTGCTGGCTGAGTTTGTCTGTATCTTTACCCAGGTACCAGTCTGAAAAGAGAACCTAAGCTCCTAATTTCCTAAAGAGGGCAATGGGGACATAACAGCCTAAATAGGTGCTGGGTCTGGGTCTCTAAGCATTATTATTATTATTATTATTACTATTACTATTTAATCTAGGCCTTAGCTATTCCTTGCGTCTTGCCTGTTTCCTACTAAGGTTGCACATCCTGACCCAGTAAAGGTCATAAGGTGATCTCATAGTTAGGACAGCTGGTATCCTTTCACCGTCCTTTCCTATCCTCTCCAAAGCATCACTAGTTTCTTTCAAATCACTAGTGAAACTACATTCAACTTACAGGCAGATTCAGGGAAGTGGGCCTTAGTACAGTCTAGCATAAACAGAGCTTTACGAATATTTCATAAGCTGAAAACTTACGTATGAATCAACTTAATAACTTATAAGCAGTCTTCATTCAATAAAATTGAAAACAAAAGCCCTGCATTTACTTTATAGAAGAGCATCATGTCAGTCTACAACTGGATGTATATCCTTTTTATGACAAGAACATTATGCACAATTTTTGGAACAGATTTAAAAAAAAAAAAGTTCACTATTTGTGTAGAAGACGCAACAGTAAATGGTAAGCCAACGATTTGCTACAAACAGAAATTTCCTTGTGAAGGCAATAAATGACTGAAGAAGGTAATAGGTTTCATATTTAATAAATAATACTGCATTCACCATTTCAGTAGTGAAGAATAGCCTCTAATTTCATACCTGGAATGAATAATGAAGGTAATTGGACTTCTCCATCTTTATTGCCTTCCCAGGCTTCTGTGACTACTTAACAAACTGGAGTTATCTTATTGTCTTATTAACCCTAATTAGAAAGGAAGTTTTATGGGCGACATCCAGATGCAGAAAAAAAAACATGAAGAGTAGCTGGAAACAAGGCGATTTCTACCATTGAAATGCATCCTGCCCAAACAGCTGCCATACTGTCTGTCTGCAGTCCTGCCTGGTATGGAAAGCCATCAGGTAAGCTGAGACTTATAAATTCACATCCCCGTAGTCCTACATCTTAATATCAAGACCGAGCATGAATGTCTGCTCACAGGTTGAAGATCTCAATTCTTAAGATCCCCAATATTTTATCCACAAGAGCATTCTTTAGAGAAACAGAACAGTGTTGTGCCCCAGTCAGGGAACACTTAAATACTACCAGAGAGAATGCATTATATTACTCACAGTTATCTTGTCTTTAACACATATGAGCTAGCATGACAGGAACAAGCAGAGTATAGAATCTGTCACTCAACAGAAATGTAAACCTGCCTTGAAAGCTAAAATAATTCAATAGAATTAGTTTATAATAAAGCAGAACCAACAAAATGTTTCTAACTGGATAATTTCATGATTCAAGTGCTATTACAAAATGCAGACTTACCATAACACTGGCCTCAATAAATATGCAAGAGATTTTTCATGTAAAATAACCTGCAGATTTGCATATTTGCAGGTTTCCCATCCAGACTTCCTTAAGACTCATAACACAAGAAAAGTTTCAGGGCTTACTGACATAACACAAACCGAAACTAAAACCATATGCAAAGCATGTGACATAGTTAATGTTTTTTTACCTGTTAAGAATCGTTGTTCTTATGAATACATTATAAAAATTCCATTGTAAGGAGTCTATTTATAAATCCCTGTCTATGTTTAATATATTATAAAATTCCCTTCAGTAAATGAATTTGACACTTTGCTACTTAAAGGTCAAAATAATAAAAAAAAGAAATAACAGAATCCCACTTTTCCCCTGTGTGTGTATGCATGTTCAAACTGAGAACATAGTTTGTCAGACCTGTTGAGCAAAACCCAATATATATTTATGAAAACATATAAATATATCTGTGTTTATATATTGTGGAGAAGTCTCTGGACTCTCAGGACATGCTGGAGACGCAACAGCACAGCAATGTGGTTAGAAGCTGTTAGTCCACTTTATTGTTAAGCACTATTCCATTTACATGTTAACAAAACATTCTCCAACCGTTCACACAGGCGCTTATCCAGTCAGAGCCGTGAGATGTTCTTTCTTCTTCCGAAGGTGTCCTTGGTTCTCATGCCTGCTTACCTTACAATACAGCTGCTGCTCTGAACAGTTTTTCTTGTATTCCCACAATATGTGTGTGTTTATACGGAAGTTTATAAATATTTATTAATTTGTATGCACATTTCTGTAGCTCAAAGATTTATGAAAAAAATCATTTTGGCAACAGTAGAAAGATACAATAAAATGCACTTTTAAAATATTTGTGAAAAGCTTTTCTATGTAATAATATGGGAAGACACTGCATGTATCCAGTGACAAATTATTAAAAATTATTAAAACTTCCCTCTGGTAAAACTGCAGGTGTTTGCAAGAGTCTGCTCCAGTTGTTCTATCAGCACTCAACACAAACTTGATGCTGCTGAGAAAATCCAGAGCATATTTAAAGGAGCTGCAGGATACAATGAGGAGGTGTTGGTATTCAGCCTTTCTGTGCCGCACAGGGTGATGAAAGCCCTCAGCAAGAGCAGTCTGTAGCTCTTCTAGCTCTAAGGGCAGGAGACACAACCAAATCAATATCTTCATAGGGAATATAAGATGACTGATTTCCCTTTCTTGTGCTCCCTCCTGTCTATAGATCAGAATACTAAGCAGTTCTTGCAGCGCCAGTATTTTCATGGCACCATTTAAATAATGGCATCAGTTTATCTGAGATTTTTTCAAAGTTAAAGAACAGTGTCTGAATCCCAAACTGTCCAGCAGAATTCATGATTTAACTGTACGTGGTTCCTTCATCTCTATGAGATAACGCATTAAGAAAACACCTTCAGTCATCAGCGGGTCAATGCATTATCCATAACTGCCCTCTTGGAGATGAAGATCTTTCTGCCTATATGAAATCTCGGTGATGGTTCAAAGATAATAGAGCTGCTGCATACATGCCAAACAAAGTCTTCATTATGGTTCTGAGCATCATTAACAAATTAATTTAAAATACAGTTTTATATTTATCCCAGCAAAATCCAGGTGACTTCCAGAAAGAAGCAGCTCAGCAACTGTAATGATACCTGCTCAGTCCTATAAATGATCAAATTAATACAAGCACTTGGTTAGAATATAGTATGTGTGGACAATATTTCCAGAATCACAGAATTGTAGGGGTTGGAAGTGACCTCTGATGTTCATCCAGACCAACCCCACTGCTAAAGCAGGTTCTGTACGCAGGTCACATAGGAAAATGTCCAGGCAGGTTTTGAATACCTCCAGAGAAGGAGACTCCACAACCTGCCTGGGCACCCTGTTCCTGTGTTCTGTCATCCTCACTTTAAAGTTCTTTCCCAAGTTCAGATGGATCACCCTGTGTTTGTGCCCATTGGTTTGTAGCCATTGTCCTTCCTTTTGTCACTGGGTACCACTGAAAAGAGCCTGGCATATCCACTTGACTCCCACCCTGCTGATATTTATGAACAGTGATAAGTCCCAGGTTTCTTGGTCTTTACATGTAGCTAAGCTACCATGGGTTTTTGCAGCAAATTGAAAGTCTGATACTAGCATAATCTCCGCGAAGACAAAAGAGATGCATCTCACCCAGACTTTATTTTATGCTTGCATAAAAGCCACTGGAATGCACTGGTCTGCTGGTTCTTCATAACTTGCACTTCACCAGGAGTTTGATGGATGCAACTGCACAAGCAAGACAAGGCTGTGACAACCTGGCTGTGGACTAGGCTACCTACAGTTGACAGTTTTTGCCAAGACTACCCCTCTCCATGAGTCTGAGCCAGATGTGAAAAGCAGGTGCCCTCCAGTACAACACAGACCTCTTTTAAACCTTGAAAAAAGTTGAAAAACTTCAACGACTTTAGCCTGTTACTAATAGAACTTTTAAGTTTGAAATAACTTTTGATCATCTGAGGTGAGTGTTCTACCAGAATGATAATAATATTCATAATTTAGTAGCAGAGCAATAAATACATTACATACTGTGCTATATTTTCAAATGCTTATAACTCAAGCTCAGGACTTAAAATTTCTACAAAGCTTTGCAAGTTGTTTGTCCAAATGGTAACTAAGCTCCTGTGGCCTTGAGGGAAGGCATCTAAAATTAGTCAGGGCACAAAGCCATTGCTGTGACCTTTGTTATTAAACAAATTAAGCAAATTCTGTAGCACAGAGAAATAAAGACTGAGAGATAGGTTTGCGTATCTCATCCTTGGACTCACTAACCATGTAACTCATGAGTTAAACTAGTGGCTGGATGACCTGTTTGTTTTCTAGCTAGACTTGCCATTGAAGAAAGCACACTATGACAAAAATCCAATGGTATTCACTACACATCTTATTATTTGCTTCCAAAGGGAGCAGGAAGTATATTTTCTCTCTACTTTGATTAGTGTTGACAAGACACTGGATATTTTACCTTTAGAGTAGTCAAATATCAGAAACTAAGGCCCTCATTAGGACTAGCACTTACATTTCCCCTCAAAAATTTGTATTGACAATGTAAAACAGCAACTTATTGAACCAAAGAACATCTTGAGGTTCTGCAGTCACATGTGATCGTACCAAATGTATGACAGCAAGACTGTCAATGCATGCCTGTTATCCCCATTTTATAAGAGAAACGTTAAACTTTTAGCTGGTGGGCTTGTGCAGGAAATGAAGACCACAATGAAAGAAAGAACCTGGAATTAATTGTCCGAAGGCACTCACTGCTGCCATCTACAGACGAAACAGAATCCAAGCTCTCACCTAATAATAGAACATACGATTTTACTACACCATAGTTGTAAGTATCCCCACTTACAGGATAAGTCTGCAGTTCCCCCCAGCTCTTAGTTTTTACAATATCAAACCTATGATCATAAAATAACGTGTGCCTTACTACTCTGTTGTCAATGGCATGTAAATCTTCATTTTAGAAATCGCCTCTACGTTTTCAGAATAGGAAACCAGTGGAACACCCACATTTGATTAGATAGTACTTTTGCTTAATGGCAGAGCAACTGAACTTCACTTAGGAAATGAAAATGGGTTGAATGTACCAGCAAATGGGTATATATGGGTGCTACAAAGTCAACATAATTGAGTATCTCATGAGTAAATTCAGATTTAGTCACATGTCCTTATAAAACAAGACTGGGAAATTATATGGGAAGATATTGAGATATTGAAATATTGAAATATTGTATATAGTGTGTCTTCCTTATTCCAGTAGCACACATGCACACAAAAATGCCTATTTCTTTCCACAGAAAATATATTTTTTTGATATCAGTGCATCATGCTTCCATGAGTTTGAAGAAGAAAAAAGAGAGTAAACAATGTTTTGATAGGAATAATTCAAATGAATAATGGAGATTGGCTTGAAGATCTAAACATAGGGTTGTCCAGTATCTGCACTGTGGTCCAATTGCTGTCTGTTGCTTTTTTGATGCCTAGCAATTAACAACTGCTATTAAAGTCCATGCCCAGGAGTAGGCTTTTTGAATTGCTGCATACAGAGACCTGCACAACATGCTGCTAGGAAGCATCTTGTACATCACAGAACAGATTGTTTTGCTGAATGAGGGACTGAAAATAATTCATACTGTTTGAACAGCTGAAGGGCTGGTTAGCACTTTAAGTGCACTAACATGCAGCTAAATTAGCACTGTTGAAACAGCATAGAGGCAAGCATGCTGTTGGCACCTGAAAAGCAAAGACACAGTGCTGCTGTCTGACCTGGCAGCTGACAACATTGTTTGTTCTCTAACCTTGGAGGCCAGCTGGAAGAGGTGAGTTGCGTACTGACACCAACAAGTAGAACAAGGTCAGGCAGGTAACCAGGTCTACCTTGGAGCTGCCTCCCTGCCAGCTGACATCCTCTGCCTCGCCACTGCCCAGCAAGCTAAATATATCAGATGGATCTGCAGCAGAATGAGAGCTTGAAATGGGAAGAGAGACATTGCAGAGGAGCGGGGAACACCAGTCTATCATAGATGGAAACGTGTAGACCTTTATTACATGTGAACTCTCCAGTAACTCATTTCCTTGTATATGTAGCATATATCACTTGCTGTGAAAGTCTGTAGTTTAGTTTTTCAGTTCCAAGACACACTGCATTGTTTGTATCTTACAAGCCTTCTGGAAGCATGCCTCTCAAGACTCTATCTGGGGATACGTGCCCCATCAGAAAGGGGAATATGGCCTGCAAATCTGACTATGCAAACCCTCTAAGACAGCCTCAGATTGTGCATATTTTCATATGATGAGCATTTAAAATTTTAAGTAAAAAAAAAAGAAAAAGAAAAAAGCTACCACAGAACACTTTTCTGTCTTGTATCTCTATTACTACTTCTAAAATTGCATTTATTTCATAACATTGCTTAACTATAAGAGTTAACTTACAACTCTTAGGCTGTATGTAATACATAAGATCCTTTATATGTATAAACAATGAGACTAATGCAGACTTTGAGCTGCAATACCGCTGAAGTTGCCTACAACGTGGTACTGCCTGCTTTAATTTCAAATAATCGCATTTTTCCTCCTTTTGCAGGCTCTTTAAGGAGGGAGGCTGCCTGCTGCAACGTCTCTAAGAACGCCAGCAGAAAGGCGACCGCCAGAGGCTCACATGGACGTTCCCTCGGAGTGCGGCGGCGCCGCCCCGCAGCGCACAAGGGCCCTCGGGGGAGGAGCGGAACCGGGGGGCGGTGCGAGGCGGAGCGCCGCTTCCGCCTTCCCGCGGGCTGTCCGGTGGTGGCGGCGGCGGGAAGGCCGAGCGGTGGAGATGGCGTCGCTGCTGCCGCGTATCGAACGGCTCTCGTCGCGCGTGGTGCGGGTGCTGGGCTGCAACCCTGGGCCTATGACTCTGCAGGGCACCAACACCTATCTGGTGGGCACCGGGCTCAGGTAGCGGCCCGGCGGCGAAGCTCGACGCAGCGCGGGGCTGGGCGGTGTGAGTGTAATAACAAGCCGGGTCGGACTGCCCGAGCTGTGGTGCAGCCCATGGGAAGGGTGGTGGAGCCGAGGCCGTGCTGTGTCGGTGGTGGAAGTAAACTGTGATCGTGTGTAAGGACTGAGGGTTGAAAACTGTGTTGCTTCTAATGACCAAAAAGCTGAAACAGTAGTGAAGTTTAGCTGGGGATAGCTACTGTTGCCTCAGTAACTGCAGTGCTGTGGTTGCTTTTTTTCCTTTATTTTTAGACATTGTTTAACTCACACAAGGGCTCTAAACTCTGTGGTTGTTTGTTTTCTTTTTTTCTTTGCCCACGTGTAGAAGAATCCTCATTGACACAGGCGAGCCAGCTATTCCTGAGTATATTGGCTGCTTGAAGCAGGCCCTGTCCGAGTTCAACATCTCAATTCAAGAGATCTTGGTGACACACTGGCATCGTGATCATACCGGTGGAATACCTGACATCTGCACAAACATCCCGAATGGTAGGCCTCAACTTTCAGTTCTTGTTGCAAGATATGTGGCAAGAAGTAACTTATAACGACTTATTCTTTGTACAACAATTGGAATAATCTTTTGCGATCTCCACATAATCCACATGCAACTTCACTGTACCACTATAATGTGTAGAGTGAGACAATTAATAATCTGAATTTCATAATTACAGTACTGTATTTTTCTTCAATACCTGCGTGTAACTTCACGAAGAATTTTTCTTACAAGTGAATAATGAGCAATTTGCATGTTATCAAAAGACATGAGAATAACACAGCGCTTTTTCCATTCTGCATCGACAGTTGTGACAAACTGACTGTTATTTTTACTTGTGTAAAAAGCAATAAATAATCTCTTTTTTTTTTAAAAAAAAAAAAAGAACATGCTTAACATTGAGACTTCATACTGTAGACCATGGCAAACTTTTAGGCCTCAAATCATGAGAAGAAGGTAGGGATGTTATTTATGATAAATTCTAATGTCAAGTTCATATTCTGTAGTGATAGCTGAGAAGTTATCAATAGAACAGAGTAAGCAATGTAGATAATGCAGCTCATCTTAGCTTCAGTGGACTTTGTCACAGTCTTTATCAGATCTTGTTGAGTTGCCAGATGCATATCTTCAAAAAAGCTCTGGCAATACTGAAACCAGCATGGATGTCTTAGTGAGAATCTTACTAACTCCTTAAAGTTTAAGACTTGCAAGGGGTATAAGTGCCTAATTTTGGGATTGCATGCTGTCTGTAGGCAAGGCGATCAAAGCATGCGCAATTTAGAATGAAAGATGTTGAGGGAGGTTTCATGTCAAACCATTTAGTGTTAGATAAATGTTGCATAGTGCTTCTGTGAATCATGATGTTGGACTCGAATGCTATTTTACACACTTATCTTTTTGCTCTTGATGAGTCAGTAAGGAACAACATTTTCAAAATGTAATGATTATTGGAATTCTGCTTATACATAGTTATGTATTAATTTCACTCTTGCTTTTTACTCTTCAAAATTGCTGCTGGTACAGAGTATGGTATATAAAATTCAGAGCCTTCACTACTCGGTGTTTCTGGCTCTATAAGAAAGTTATTTTATAAGCATAAAATTACTGGTTACCATTGTTTACCTGAAGATTTGCTATCAGACAGTGTAATAATTTATAGTACATCTACAAAAAGCATAAGTAATTCTGTAGTATTAGCTTTGTTAGTGACAAAATATGAATCATTATTTTCTTTGCTTTCTTTAAATAGACTCTGAATATCGCATCTGTAAGCTTCCTCGTGTCCCTCACTGTGAAGAAATAATAGGAGATGGAGGATATAAATATTTATATCTTAAAGATGGGGATGTGATACAGACAGAGGGAGCCACACTCAGGTAAGCAGTGATTTCTGCAGCTTTGTTTGATCATTTGTTTCTTCAGAAATCTGGTGCGTATATGTAATACATACAATCCAATGTCTGACCCTGCCAACATTTACCCAAGTAGACTTCCTGTCATGACTCAGCAGGGTGTGTTTATGCAAAAAAGTTGTTCTTATGAGGAATCAGCCTTTAGTCTTTGGCCTCACCACAGAAATGCTTTCCTTGAGAAATATTTCCTGAGGGAAGAACCACACAGGATTTTATGTAACTTGTCTTTACTCTTAGATACATAGTTATTATGTATAGTTGATACTTTGGTGATGTTTATGATGATCTCTGTGAACATAATAAAATGCTTCTAAAGGAAACATTGCAACATTAAGTATTTAGCATTAAATTGTTAAATTCTGATTTGATTCCAAACAAATCTGAAGGTGGTACGTTTTGAAGTATGCAGTTATGCAACCAACCTTTATACTTGGTTAAGAGCATGTAATCTCTACTAGCTAAGGATACTCATAGATGCCCTCCCTGGTGGTTCTAAAGCAACAATGTCAGCACATTTCATTTCTGGTTAGCAACTTTAAATTTTTCAAGGATGCCAATCCGTGTTAGTTTCATTCATGTTTGGTTTTTTTGCATATTAGTATTGAAACTTCCTGGTGAAACTCCATTAGGAAAGCCTTTCACCTGATTTTCTGTTGCCTCAGCAGGGTGATGACTCACCTGCTTTCCACAGCACTTGGTATTCCAGAATTGAGAGCCTTTGCATCAGTGCTGTGCTTCTGGCCCTCTGCTGAAGTGTCTGGGGCTGTTTAGCATTAGGTTATATGCCATGTTTGGCACCAGCTCTGTGCATCCCATTGACAAGTAAATTCTGTTGAATTAAAGCACTGATGCTGGTCTGAGCTTGAGTCAGAGGATTTCTGCCTTTCAAAAACTGTAGTGCAGCTCCTTAGCAGCTCTGATTACTATATATTTGTCTTTTAATTTTCTTTTAACACAGTACTTCACTAAGCTGTGGTATCTTAAATCCATACCTTACAGATGTTTCATGACCTGCACATAAAAGAGCTAAAAGACCACCAGTCCTTGCATTTTACATTTCTGCCCACTGTGTCATGGGGCCTTCAGGGTAAACTAAACACGGGAATGCAGAATGTTATTTGTGTTATGTCTGTTAATGTACAAGGAATTTCTCAGAGAATCAGCAACTTTTTTTGCCTTTTTTTTTGCCAGGTGCAATGTGTATGTCAGGAGCTTTTCAATCTGAGAACAAATTGTCTTTTTTTTCTTTCTTAAACCCTCTACAACAGAAGTTTTACATGACTAACTAGCTGCACTAATGCACTGCCTCTGTGATGTGACTAAGACAAAGAACGTTATAGATGGTCATCTGTGTTCTCTATTTGGTATAAGAGAATGGACTAAGATTAAACAAAATAACATTGTGTTTACACTGACACTTCAGAAATTCCCAGTAGAATACCTTTTGTGATTCTTCCTGTAGGTTCCTTTAGGAAGGTATGATTTTATCACTGTTGTTTTAGGCATCTGGGAAATGAAGGTAGTTCTGTATGACTGCTGAATGAAAGTCTTAAACTTTTTTGTTGTTTTTCTTTAAACAGAGTTTTATATACACCCGGGCACACTGATGATCATATGTCTTTACATCTAGAAGAAGAAAATGCTATATTTTCTGGTGACTGTATTTTAGGGGAAGGAACAACAGTAATTGAAGACCTGTATGATTACATGAAAAGTTTGAAAATGTTATTACAAATGAAACCAGATTTAATATATCCAGGTTAGTGGTTCTGTTTTGATTATTTATATATTTTTAAAATATATATATATATATATATATTTTTTTTTTTTTTTTTACTGTATCAACTCTTACAGTCAAAGATCATTATTAATGTAACAATTCATGTTCAATATTGAATGTATGCCTGGTGCTAAACTGAGTTAATGGCTTGGACATCTGTGACACTTAAAAATCTCTCCGTGACAAATAATTTTCTTTCCTGTGATTTCTTCCTTTGAGGGTGATTCTTGTTCTTTCTGCGTTAAAAGCATACAGAAGCCAGAATTGTTGACTGCTGCAATCGTATAAGAAGTTGGCTTTTATTTCATTAACCAATCTATCACCAGTGTTACCCTAGAAGAATAAAATAGTTCTTCTTTTGGTCCTCTGCAGCCCATGTGCTCAGTCACTATGCAGTGTGTTTTGAGAGAGGAGTTTGTCCTTTGCAACAGTTTAATCACAAATTCATCTTGGAAGGCTGCAGAACTGTCAAATGGTTATGTTAGTTAATGACTGAGCTTAATAGGAACAGGATCCAACAAGTCCAAACATCATGCTCTAAAAATAAACTGCTGATTGATTCAGTCTAAAACTCTGCTTTTCATTTTTTCCCTCTTATTCCCAAGGTTTGGGGAAGATGTGTTTATTTTTTGTATAAACTACGTGTTTATTTCTATTTGAGAAGAATGGGTTTAACCTCCTCACTTTCTTCCTCAGTTACATCTCAGGAATTTCTCTGGCCTTTCCTGTTTCATCTTTTTCAGCTAGTTGGAGGGACTTTCTACACTCTCATTTCTGTCTACGTCCATTAACTATGTTTAGCCTACATAGCCAAATCTCTTCTGTGTGTTTTAATACAGATATAGTAGATATTTAAGATCTAAGATCATAAACTGCTTAGATCTATTTTTTTTTTTAAAGTGCAATTTAAGAAAAATATTATTCTATGTATTCCATGGATGTGGAGGCTGACACAAACATAAATAGTGCTTGTAGTAATTGACTAAACTAGTGGTAAAACTAAGAATATTTGAGATACTGATATATTATTGATATATTGATCAATTAAATGTTCTACTTTTTTTCTTTTTTTAAACCTGCAAAGCACAATCTGTTCCTCTAATTGAATTTCTGTCTTCCAAAAAGCCCACATATGCCAATTTGTGTTTGGTTTATTACTTCTATCTGCTGTGTCTCACTCTCTCCTTCATCATTATTTATCTAGATTACACATTCACCAAGGGTGAACGTTTGTCCCACTTATCCGTAACCGTTTGCAACGCTGCTGTGAATGTGCTCATGCTCTGCTTGCAATTAGGAAGACAGTAGGATATTACTCATTTTCACTGATGGGTAGCTAGGTGTTGATATGATTTATAACTTTGTTTCTTTATCCACACATCATAAAATGGATGTGCAATAGTGTAAAAGATAGTTATTGCCTAGCCAAAATAACTGTTTATGTTATTGCTATGTACTATAGTAAAAACCGTAGCAGAAGATAGTTTGTTTTACTGTCGCATTGGAATGACTCCGGGCAAAGTTCTCATTGCAGTATTTTGCTGCTCGTGGTTGGTGAGAATCCTCGGGAGCAGAAAAGGACCTTTTGGCCAGCAGAGGGCGCCCTATCCTGTAATAATAAACTGCTACTTGGCGGCATAGAAGAAATGGCACAGTAGATAGAAATCTGTGCAAGACTTCAGGAGCCAATTCTTTTCTTTTAGTTTTATCTTTCTTGCTTCCATTTCTCATGGATGAAACAAGAGAACCTATATTACTTTACAGGATGCTATAAGAATAAATGTGTGATCACCTGGGATATACAGAGGTCTTAAATATGAAGCTGTCTGACATAATGTCTAAGTTATTTTTGAAAAGATAGTTATATTTTAAGATATCTTCTTCAAATACTCAGAAATACTTTAAATTTATGTAGATGTTAATTTTTCAGTGAGGTTAATTATGTTGCTATCCCTGAAAATTGCAGGTGTGAAAGATCCACACCTAAATTCAGTTCCAAGCTTTATGACATTTAGTACTCAAGTACTTAAAGTACTTGAGTACTTTATTGTGCCTGCTGTCTTTTTGAGAATGTAAGTGGACAGTTGATATTATGGTCCTTGCTCTGTATTTTAGTGGTTTTCTAAGTTGAATTTTTTTTAATGAATGACAACGTGTTTACAGGGGCTACTGTTATATTTATAGCTCCTTTTGTAAGGAAGAATAAATTCAGATGAAATATAATTAAAATCATGAAAAATAAGTGCATGTGTGACAGTACATTTTTATATTGGCCTTAACATGGAGCACCACTCCTATGAGGAAGAACTGGGTTTGTTTAGCTTGGAGAAAAGAAGGCTCCAGGGAGGCCTCATTGTGGCTTTCCAGTACTTGATATGTTTGGAGGAGGAACGGCTGTTTACGAGGGTGGATAGTGATAGGGAGGACAAGGGGGAATGGTTTTAAACTGAGACAGGGGAGGTTTAGGTTGATATTAGGAGGAAGTTTTTCACACAGAGGGTGGCGACGCACTGGAACAGGTTGCCCAAGGAGGCTGTGGATGCCCCATCCCTGGAGGCATTCAAGGCCAGGCTGGATGTGGCTCTGGGCAGCCTGAGCTGGTGGTTGGTGACCCTGTACATAACAGGGGGTTGAAACTAAATAATCATTGTGCTCCTTTTCAACCCAGGCCATTCTATGATTCTATGATATCTTTTATTGATAATTTTTTACTTGAAGTCTGTTGAAGTGAGTGTACAAGTTAAGAAACTTTTGACTCGTGGTAAAGCATAGATTTCTTTGACGCTTTTTTTTTATTTCACAGGTATTCAGATTATAGAAAAAGAGCAAATAATTTTTCATAAGGTGCCTGTTTTCAGGTGAAATAAGCCATAATTTAAACTACCTGAAAGCTAAAAACTTACTTGGTCAGTCAACCAAGAACTACGAGTAGAGAATATGATGACTTTTCAGAAACAGCCCAAGAGCATCAAAGAAAACTGATTGGGATGGTAACCAGTAACTTTTAAACTTAAACTTTTAAAACTTAAAGGAAAGATAATTTTAGTTCTAAAGAAAAGTTTTATTTTATTTAAAAAATGAGTTTAAACTGGCAGAACCAGAAGCTGATGCTGCTGCTTTAGATGATGCATGCAAGTAAAGATATAAGAAACCTTGCTATAAGGAGCACATTACAGATATTAACGCAGCACTGTGTATGAGTGAGTTCTGAAGATATGTCATGGAAAATGTATCTCTTGCAGCTTAACTTACTTCACCTCTGTGTTTGCTGGTGTTTGTTACAGGAATGGTAGTACAATACGTGAGTCTTTGCCTCAATCATTACTTTATAGAGACCAGTTTCAATCTAAATCAATACCGATATCCTCTGCGGAGGGTGAGACAAGCAGATGTAATATAATAATCTCTCATCTTTCAAATCTGTTCAGTAGCAAACTCTTTTTTCTTGCATTAAGCAGTATAAAGTAGTTTGTTTTTTGGTTTTTTTTTTTTATCTTATCAGAAGCATTCCCTTTGCACATTCAGACTTCTGAGATCTCCTAATTCTCCTCTTCCATCTAAATCCTATTGAAGTGCAGACTATGATGAAGGCATTCAAACTTAATTTCAATCCCTTTATAAGAAAAAAAAAATGTGAAGCGTGAAGAGCATCTTGTAGTTTTGCACCAGGGATGCTCAGAGTGATACATACAGGTGCTGTTCCTCTTATACAGTTCTTAAAGCCTACCAAAGTCTATATATAAGAACGAGTCAGTTATTCTGTAGCATACTTAAATCCAAATGTAAGTAACAGCACTCTGGTGCATGTGTTTCAATTTAGGCCATGGCCCAGTGGTCCGTGATGCAAATGCTAGAATTCAAGGATACATTTCTCACCGAAATGCACGTGAAGAGCAAATTCTGAATGTTTTCAAGAAGAATGCTGGAAAATCATATACATCTTCAGAGCTTCTGAAGATAGTGTACAAGGTAATTACTGATGGAAGTCTTTTAGCTTTAACTAAAGAAAATTGAGAGTATGTTCCTAAAATTGTACATAGCAGCCTAAATGTGTGATTGAAGATCATGGTGGCTTTAAAAAAAGAAGGGAAAAAAAAAAAAAAAGATTGAAAGATTTCTGCCTGTTCAAAATGTGTATTTTAAATAGCATTGTTTAAGCACTGCATTGGATTGGATTGGAGCTCAGATGATCCTTGCAAATTTCTTATTCCACTACATAGCCTTAAGCTTGGTTTCATAGGACCAAGCTAAAATACAGCTGTAGTGCTTGGTTGTAAGTGCAAAGTGTGGGATTACTGTTAATTGTTGACCTGTCTTCGTTCATCGGTCTGCAGTTTTGCAGAGATAGGTATTGCACTCAGAAGTCAGGTAGCTCGTGTGTGTCATTAGACAAGCATCCCTACTTCATTCCTCATGTAACCTCAGTAATTTGTGCATGTGAAGTGGGAGTTATTGCATTTAGCAAATAGAAAGAGATGCAAACATTAAAGAAATGCAACTTTAGCTTCAGAGGAAGATATCATAATTGTCAATGGCTGTAGTATGTGAAGAGGTCTGTCGCAGCTTCACAACTATTTTTTTCATGGTTCTACTAAGCCCCAGTTTCCAAAGGAGAAAATGCAAGTCACACTGAATATTTTGCATTGCTGATGTACTATTATCTGTGGCTATTTACTTCTTGCACTTTGTAAGTGTAGAGCCATCTTTATGCTTCTGTAAATCACAAACCATTTTTCCTGTCACTATGCTATAAGAGTTTTTTTCCAGTACTACTAAAGCTTTAAAACAAAAAGTGTATTTTTCTCAAAGCTTTTTAGAGATTCACAATTTATTGAGCCAATTTTCTAGAGAGTTTCTTCCTTTCTTCAGATCTTGGAGAAGAATTTTTTTAATTTTCTATAAGAAAGCTTTATATATATGAAGATAATGCAGAAGAAGGGGATTTTGAAAAATATTATCATCATTGGTTATAATATTATACTTTATCAGTGTGAAATTTTAAGATATTTTGTCCTCCTGAAGTTGTATTTTTAAATTGCTTACACATTTATGGATGCTAGTTGTTAAAGAATATTAAAATCCATGCAAATATTGTCAAAAAAATAAGTAATCAGTATCTGTGGAGAAATGCATCTTTGATTTTTGTCATCGAAACTTGTGGAAAAATGCTTAGCTGTATTGACAACCCAGTGTAGACCAAGCTCAGAAGAATGCAGTCTTAGAGTTGGCCAAAGCTTAAATTACGAAAGTGTGTGGTGCAAAAAGTGGGCACAGTAATCAGAAATGTGGTATAGTCTGCAGTTTAAATGGTTTGAAGTTAATTTAATCATTTCAGGTTTTAATCACTGTATAGCTAAATGCGCAAGACAGTAATGAGAAGAGGAAAAACTATATTAATAAACAATATCAATGTACTAAATATATATTTGGGAGATACTTAATACAAAACATACGTTTGTGTTCCCATTAGGACATTCCTGAAAATTTACTTCTAGCAGCAGAAAACAACCTCATAGTCCACTTGAAGAAGTTGGAAAAGGAAGGAAAAGTGTGTAAGTTGGGGATGGTGGGATGTAAAGGTAGTCATTTCCATTTTGTTTTTCTGTGTAGATGATCAGGGGACAGGAGCACCTCCCCTATGAAGACAGGCTGAGGGAGCTGGGCTTGTTCAGCCTGGAGAAGAGAAGGCTGCGGGGTGACCTCATTGCAGCCTTTCAGTACCTAAAGGGAGCCTACAAACAGGAGGGGAGTCAACTCTTTGAGAGGGTAGATAACAGCAGGACAAGGGGAAATGGTTTTAAGTTGAAGGAAGATTTAGGTTGGATGTTAGGGGGAAGTTCTTCACAGGAAGAGTGGTGAGGTGCTGGTACAGGCTGCCCAGAGAGGCTGTGGATGCCCCGTCCCTGGAGGTGTTCAAGGCCAGGTTGGATGGGGCCCTGGGCAGCCTGGTCTGGTATTGAATGTGGAGGTTGGTGGCCCTGCCTGATGCGGGAGAGTTAGAGCTTCATGATCCTTGGGGTCCCTTCATTTTGTGCACTGTGCATGTTGTCTATGTGTGTTCTGGGGGTGGTTAAAATCGGTTAGAGTTACTTTTTTCTGATTAGCATTCTGATTAACTTAAGCAGAGCAACTATATTTAATTTATTATTTCTACACTGTTGCCTTTACATTAGTGAACAAAATGAAGTATTTTATTTCGGTAATGGCAGGAGCAATTGGAAGCGCTTTCATCTATGAGCTGAGGAAAATATTTGTTTCTGTACATTACATAAGTACACTCACACACACTGTACATTAGATTAGTACACATCTGCAATTAAGCAATTACATGAACAATTTTATCTGTTCAAAATTGCTTACATTGGTAAATGACGACAGTGTGAAGTTGGTGCCTTTTTTTCCGCTGGTGCCTTTTTTCCATCGTCCTGTTTATTTTAATAATTAATCATCTGGTAGGCTCAGCACTGATTGAAAAACTGAGAACAAATTTCTGTTATTATTATGACATGATATTCGTTCCAAGAAAAAGGACTAGAATCATGCAAACAGTTGTTTTTATTAAAGTTCAAATACAGTATCTTCATGCGTACTTCATTCGGAATGCCCTGTAAGCTCACTGACTGGCACTGCACCAACTTCTAAATCTGATTTCAGTTCTTGGTTGTTGACGCAGCTTACTGAGCACAAACCTGCACGTTTCTCCAACCTGGCTACGCAGAGTTCCTCCAGGGTATCCAATGCTGTTGACTGAAATTATCTCTTCCCTTTTACTGCTGGAGTAGCTCAAGCAACAGCATTTTATGTTTAGACAAAGTAGTGGGTAAATTAACTTTCTCTTCAGCAGTAGAATTGCAGCCTTTCATACAGTAGGCTGTGTGTATGTATCATAAATGCTGAGGAATTAATTTCTCAAAGTTGCTTCCATCTTTTAAGCCGGTTTTGTTCAGAACAACATTCCGTGTTTAGTGGACACCATTTTCCTCAGAAAGGTGCTTACCTCTGAAGGTTGAAGATACAGTAGATCAGGAGCTTCAGTCAGATACCTGTTCACAAAGTAGCTTCTGCTTGAAGACATTAGAGAGTTGTAGTAACTAGAAGATAACTGAGTAGAATAATTTTTATGATTCTTTTACATGATTTTGCTGCCTTCTCTTGCTTTCTGAGGAGCACAAGAAGTGCCTTTTAAAGGTCTTAGATTTGGTTTGGTTTTTGGTTTTTGATCTTCATTTCATGCTCACAGACAAGGAAGAAAGCCATCTCATCAGAAAACTTGAGGCATCTGTGTGCTGACCTCTAAAAAATAGCCTAAAAAATAGCTGCTAACTTTTTCAGTACGAGCTTAGACCTGGACCTGTGATACACACTTAACATCATGTAACCATTGCTGATTTTTCAGTTCAAATTAAGCACATCTGTTAAGGAAAATTGATTGGTTCTTAATGAGTAGCATACAAATGCTTGCATACTCACTTTACATGTAGTCTTACAGTATTTCAGATTTTGTCATTGTGATGGAAAACAGCAGCATGGCTACAGCTCCTAATTTTCACAAAATATTATCTCAAAGAAACGTGTTGTCGGTGTTGGTAACGAATAAGACAGGCATATTCCACTGTTACTGGAGAGCTGCTCCATGCAGATTATGGCCATACGCTTCCTGCCACTGTTGTTAATTTACCACTTCATCCTAGGGATTGCAGTGTATATGGGTACATAATTTTTATAGCTCCAATTAGGAGTGATAATGGCTTTTACTCATTTGTTTTTCTCACTTTGGACAGAAAAACAATGCCTTGCATACAGGAGCATTGCACGACACATACATGTAAACTCTGCCATATTTGGAAAATTGTCATTGTTTCAAGTTCTTTAAAAACAGTTGAAGAGATAAAAAATAATTTAACTGCTATAAATTTAGCAGCACACTTCTCAAGTTCATAAATGTCACAAAATGCAACAAGTGTTCCTCAACTTCAAATTTATTACTGTCTAGCAATTTTGATATCCTGAACATTAAATAACTGCAGGATTATTAAACCTTTTTTTTTTTTTTTTTAATATCACTAGGACTTACATTGTGAAACAGTCAGTGTTTATCAGTTTCCACTAAAATTCAGCACTGGCCTGCAGGAAAGCATTTTAATAGCCAACCTGATGATCTTCAAAATGCCATATAAAGACATGCAGAATTTGCAGATTGAGATAGTCTATTGTTATATGTAGCATCTAAGTGTTAGCTTGTGACTAATTTGGACTCCTTATCTTAACAGTACGTGATGCATCTCTCAGCTTCAGATGGAGAAACAATCTGTAGCTTACACAAGATTGCTCGAGAGCATTTTCAGTCTGCATGGTTGCTGCGTGAAAGAAGAGAATGATGAGCTCGGAGGATATGTGAAGTAAAAGTCTTTCATTTGTTTTTTAGGTTCTAACAATTTAAAAGTGATGTTTATTAAACAACAAATTGGAGATTGTATAAACAAATCTGTAGTAAAAAGAACAAAGATCAGATACTTCAGCTGCTTCTGTTGTGCTTTTCAAAAAGTGATTCTGATGGTAACTTCTCTGTAAATTCTAAAAACAACCAATTTTTGCTAGCAAGTGGAAATACTGTTTTTCATATTCTTTTCCATAATGTAACTGTCTGTGCACGTTTTTGTTGGCAGTATGTTTTAACTGAGAGTACTTCCAGATATATCTGTTTGCTCATGGAAACATCATTTCTGTGAAATTTAAAGGATCATTAATTTCACCTAATTAATGTCAAAACACACACAGCATTAAGACAGACTTTAATTCTATATCTTCTAAGTTTCTGCAAGAATGTGTTTAAAAAGCTACTTAAATCAAAATATATATTGTAAACAATATGAGGTTATGTTTTTCTACCACTTTATAACAAGCTTAGAATTGTGTTATTAACACCATTTAAAGAACAAATATCTTAACTAAAGGTTGTATTTGGTTATAAGGTACTGAGTAGTTGTAGAAAAATGTTTGCAGATGAATTCAAACTTTAGTTTTCTGTGTAGCTTTCAGAGTAATATATAAATGTTTGTATTATATTGTGCATTTAACATATGTTTTTGGTTCACTTTTCTAATGCTGGTCCAACCTTAAAGAGATGTTTAAAGGTACTAAAGACAGATGTATGTTCTTGAAAATCCTTGAGAACCTTTCAAGTTCCTCCTGTATCTTCATTTGTGGAACATGTGTATGTTTGGGTGTTTTTAGTAGGCACAGCTTAATAGTTATCAGTATCTGATGAAGTTGATAACATTTGTTCATAACGATGGCTTTTTGCTTCAGGAGAAGAGAAATTTAAGTGAAATGGTACAGTTTTGTCATGGTGGGAAGCCTGAGAACCTAAAACACAGTAGGGTTTAGTATGAAGTGATGATGTCTCATTACCTTCCAAGCTAAAGAAAGCTACTGGCATCCCAAATGTCACTGCACCATTTTCTTCTGTTTGACTGTGTTTATGGAAAATTCTTCAGAACTGAGTTAAATTGCAGATAGTAAAGAAAGAGATGTGATGCAAAGAACTACATTACATATTCCATGCTGTGATGCAGCTGACGTCTAAAGCTCATGAGAGGTGAGGGAAATAGCAGTTTGACCAGACTTGAGTTGTTTCGTGATATAGATGGTGCCTGAAATATTAAAAGCAGAGGTTGCTTTACTAAGACCTATACTTGCATCTGTGACATTGCACAAGTCATAAGATTCCTTGCTATGAGATTTTAGGTTTGTTTAATAATCCATGCCTGTATAAAAACGAGGATCATCCTGTTTCCAACCCCTGCCCTTGAATTCATTAGTCTGTGCAGAATCTATTTAGGACTGAGAGTGAAAACAGGAGAAGGGGCAATTTCTGTCTCATCAAGATGGAAGGGCAAATGTTGTTCAGTGCACTAACTTTGTAAACAGCTGGGGACAGAAGGAGCACTAAATTGGGTAGTTTTAATATGCTGTCCTGAGATGAAACACACAGAAATGTAGGTTATTAGGTTTAAGAACTAGGAAATAATTTTGACAGTAGGTATAACATTTTCAAGTTTCCCATTCTGCTTCTTGCAAAGTTTATATTTCTTAAGAAATATCTTTCTTGAGATATGTTTTTAAGTATAAATGATGATTGAAAGGTTCCCAAATTGGAAGGGCATTGTTCTGTCTGTATCTGTTGCATCAGGTGCAGTAATATTGTTACTGCTAAATCCTCCACAATCTTCCAACCTGAAATAGATTTCAGACTTCCTTCCTAAGATCATTTTGAAGCGTAGTCTTTCAATGTCTGGAAAGCTGGGACAAAATCTGGCAAACATAGACCAACAGCCCATTGGCAAGTAGTAAGACTGAGGACTGACAGGTATTTCAGATCATAACACTTTGCCTAAAGCGCCGTAAGAAACATCACGTGGCAGAAGAGAGGTCTCCAACAATAGGAATATGTGGAAAACACTCGGATGAGGCAATGGGTTGCTTTATTTTCCATGTCAGTGTAGTGGTTTGTATTGATAAACACAAAAAGCCAGTTAAAACCAAGAAGATCTCTGTGCCTGTAAAGGAAGACAGTAGCCATCCGCTGGGGGCATTTGCTGATTATTGCTTGAAAAATAGGATGTCCCATCCCAGGTAGTTAAATCCCATTCCCTAAGTTCAGTGGACTTGTTTTCTTTTAATAAATAAATTCAAGACTACTTTGAAAAAAGAATTTTTTTTATTTTTTATCCTAATTCAGTGTACTTCACTTCTGCATTATATTATATTACATCTGTAACTACGTGGAATGCACCTGAATGCAACTTTCACATCATCATTTTTGAAATAATGTTCTTTACAAAATATATGGCCAAGAGATGGAGGGATTCCTGGGATTGAAAAGAAATATATTAGTATTGAAACAGGAACGCTTGTTCAGTTTGAACTACTTTTATATATTAAAAAAAAAAAAAGGAGGAAAAAAATACAATAGTTTATTCTAAGTATCCCAGACCATCTCCAATTACTGAGTATTCCTGTCTCCATGACTTAATAAACTTTTGCAGAGCTTCTGAGCATCTTCACAGATTTTGTTTAGAGTAGCTCTGGTTCTGGAAAGACCTGATTTAATGCTTGAGCCTGAACATAAATCTAGTTTATATTGGCAGGTGTCATTCAGAAAGCTGGTCATGGCCTGGATGTGGTGTGCACTCTGCTCTGGCAAGCCAGAACCCACCCTCACAATACTCAGCTTCAGCCATCAGGTACGCTGGAGACTATTCTTCTCCAGTGGGAGTATCTGTCAGGAGGTTACTTTTTGAGGACACCTTTATTTGCCTTCCCTTTTCTTCCATCTGGGCTGATCTTTCTCATATATATATATATATATCTTCTGTAAATTAAGAGCAGGCTTTTGTTTTGGGGCAATTGGGTTTGGGTTTTTTTTGTTTTTTTTTTTTTTTGTTTGTTTGTTTTTTGTTTTTTAAATTATTCACAGGCTTTTGATATCTCTTCTCCATAATATATTTCTGATTTAGAAATTTTTTTTTACCCCTCTCATGGGATAACTTTTCTTGTCCTGGGATTCCAGGGTGTTTGGATGTGTGTTGTTCCAGGCTATAGGCTGGCAGGACTCTGCTGTTATTCATACCCTGAGGCCGTGCCCTAGCCATAACCCTAACAAACCCAGCGAGTTCCGTTTCTTAACGACATCTTTTCGTTTCCCCCGACGTCCAGCTAGGAACGGCCTAATAGAAACTAAACTTCGCCAGAGAGAGGGAGGACAACGAAACCGAAGGGGGCTTTGGGCAACGCATAAGCAGGGCCCGGCGCAGGCAGCCACAGCCACGTAGCGCCGCCCGAGGAGCCCCGGCCGGCCCTCAGCCAGCCGTCGGGGCCCGCGAAGCGCCGGGCCACCGCCTCCCCGCGGGCCGGCCGAAGACCCCTCCGGCCGGCAGGGGCGCTGGCGGGCGGCGGCGGGGGCCGCTCCCGGCGGCCGGGCAGCGGAGGAAGGGCCGCGCGGGGCCGCGGCGGGCGGGGCGGGGTGAAGCGGCGGCTGCTGCCATTCCTCTGCTGCGCGGCCGCCTCCTCCCACCCGCCTCTTCCTGGCCGCAGCGAGAGCTGTGCTGGCAGCGGGGAGGCGGCGGCGCCCAGCTCCCGGCCCGCCATGGCGATCCGCAAGAAGAGCAACAAGAACCCGCCGGTGCTGAGCCACGAGTTCATCGTGCAGAACCACGCCGACATCGTCTCCTGCATGGCCATGATCTTCCTGCTGGGGCTCATGTTCGAGGTGAGACTCCCGCTCCGTCCTCCTCTCCGCCGGGAGCCCGGGCGGCCCGGGGGCGGGCGGCATCGCGGTGCCGCGATCGCGGCCGTACGGCGGAGCCCGGGCGGGCGCCGCGTCCCCGCTCCCCGGGGCCCGGCCCCTCCGGGAACGCCCTCTTCGGCGCGGAGACGCGCTGCCCGCCGCAGCCGTCCTCGCGAGCGAGGCCGTGCCCCGCCGCCGCGAGGAGCCGAGGCGCGCTTCCCTCCGCCGCGCCGGGGTTACGTGGCACTCGGCCGGGGGAGGGGTGCGCGGCGTGCGGCCGCGCTCGGACCGGGGGAGGCGGAGGGGGGCGGCGGGGAGGCGCGGCCCGGCCCTGCCCTGCCTCACCGCGCTCTTTGTGTGCGCTGCCCGGGCGGCCCCGCCGGCACTACGACTCCCGTGAGGCCGCGCGCCGCCGCGCGGCCCGCAGGGGGAAGGGCGGCCGGCGGTGACGTGTACCTACGGCCGCCGCGCGGGCAGCGGGGCGCGAGTCCCCCGGCGGCCGCCGCCTGGCTTTGGTCGGCCCGGCCCACGTGGCCTGCGGAGCTCCCGGTTCCCCGGAAACCCTCCCCTACCCGGCCGCTGAGCTGAGCGTGCCTTGCTGGGTTCCCTTGTGAGGGATCCCGAGATGTTCCCAGAGTGCCCTATCGCGGCAGGACACGTCCGCCACGCGGCGCGGTTGTGGCTTTTCAGAGTCCCAGCCGGTGGCTGTTTTACCCACGCAGGTGACTTTCGGCAGTTTTACCCGGCCTTTGTGCTGCTCAGGTGTAGGATTTGAAAAACTCCCAACCTCTGAAAAGATGGGACACACTAAGAACGCTGCTCTGTGTGATTTTTACTACCAAAAGTCACCAGAAATCACACCATGCCTCACAGTGTGGTTTTAAGGTTAAAGATATACGGACCTAAACCCTTCCCGTGTGTGTATGCTTACTGTTTATTCACCACATTGCTGCTAGCATTGGGTGTGCCGAAGCCTTTGTCTCTTTGACATTTCTCTGAAAATCTCTCTAATTTTCACTTCACAACATTTATTTTCTATCTTGGCATAGAGGGACCATGTAACTCTGTTCTTACACATATAGTGAGGCTGAACAGATTGCTAGGTCTCTGCAATGCTTTGCGTACACGCCTTAGAAATCATCTGCCACAGTTAGTGCTGGTATGGTACAGTATTGATGCTGTCCTCACAGAATCACGGAATGGCCCAGGTTGGAAGGGACCTCAAGGATCATGAAGCTCCAACCCCCTGCCACAGGCAGGACCACCAACTTCCCCATTTAACACTAGACTAGGCTGCCCAGGGCCTCATCCAGTCTGGCCTTGAACACCTCCAGGGACAGGGCATCCACAGCCTTTCTGGGTAGCCTGTTCCAGCACCTCACCACTCTCATGGTAAAGAACTTCCCTCTCTTAAAACCATTTCCCCTTATCCTGCTGTTACCAACCCTTGTAAAGAGTTGGCTCCCCTCCTGTTTATAGGCTTCCTTTAGGTACTGCCTTGCCCTTGCTCAGCTGAACAGCGTTAGCTGAGTGAGCCTTGGTATGGCATGTCGGAACTGGCTAGTGGTGTGAGTCCTCTGGAGGCTCCTTCCACAGTCCTGAGCAGTGGAATAAATTCTGGCAGACTAGTTGGGTTCCCAGAAGTTGCACAGGGTTGGTTCCAAGGAAAACTCCTAGTTTATGGAGTGCTTGTTTCAGTGAAAAAGATATAAAAATTTTTAAGAAAAGTCCAATTTGTTTTGAGCCATAATAATAATTCAGTGGGTTATCTTCAGGTAGCAAAATGTCTTACACTTGAAAATTGTTATTGATGAACGAGAATTGCTGCTTTTGTTTTCTTTTTTGAAGGTATCATCTCCCTGCCCAGAAAAGACTTCAGAACAAACATTTTCTGCTTCTCTCTTCTATTGTGAATTTCGTTTTTTCTTGCTGTTCTCATGAAGAGCAATTTTTGAGGGTATTTCTGTAAACAAATCTATGTGGTCTCTTTTGCCTTCAGAAAGTCAGATGATGGGAGTTGGTTGTTTTCTTGGGAGGAGCAGACATGCTTGGGGAAGAGTGCTAAAACTGGGGAGTAAACATCTTCAGTTTAAAATAGTTTATGTTGGTGAGATTCGACAGCACTTGTGTGTTTTCTTTTCCAGATTACAGCAAAAGCAGCTGTCATTTTCGTCACTCTTCAGTATAACGTTACCATTCCTGCCACAGGTATGTGCTTGCAGGTGGTTGGTTAGTCATGGGCTGTTAACCTCAGACACTGCTAACGTGTTGTATGCCCTAAACTGAGGATAAGTTACCGAGTTTAAATGGAAAGTACAGAGATTTTAAGGACTTAATATAAATTGTTTTGGTAAAACTTCCAAGGAATCCATTCTGTCGTTTTGTGAATTGCATTAGGGTAAATGTTTCTGCTCTGCTGGGTTTGTTCTTGAGCCTGAAACCCAGTCTCAGTGGTTAATAAGTTCATGTTCTTACTCTGGTTATGCAAGTGATCTGTTCTACTTAGTGTGTGGGGACGGGGGGGGAGGGTTGATAGTTTAACATAATTTTATAGTTCCCTTTCAGTGCATTTGGCTAAGCTTCCTAAGTGCACTTAAGTTTCCATTTTTATATTACATCCTTCCAAAATCAAATTGAGTTTGTGATGCGATGGAGAAGATTACTGTAAATGGAGTCTAGTGACCTAGCTCAGGGTGGTGGTTTAATTTGACTTATATTTGTTCAGCTGACAACAAATGACTTTTGCCTGAAAGGTTTCACTTTAAGAAAAAAACTTATTGGCAATAAAACTGTATCAGTGCCTAACAGTTAATTCTGTTTTTGTCTTCTAGAAGAACAATCTGCAGAAACAATCTCTCTCTATCACTATGGCATCAAAGACTTGGCTACAATTTTCTTTTATATGCTCGTAGCAATAATCATACATGCTATTATTCAGGAGTATGTATTGGATGTAAGTACAAAATACTAATTCCTTTCATCAAGATAATAGATTAGACTTTGACTGTTAACTTAAAAGCTTTAATGCTAAAATTTACCTTTAAAATGCTAAAACATTTATTGGAACTTTCAGATGTTCTAATGCTGGTAGCAGCTAATGTTAAGTACAACATATAAATAACAGTGGACTTTCATTTCAGAAAATTAACAGGAAAATGCACTTTTCCAAAACAAAGCATAGCAAGTTCAATGAGTCTGGACAACTCAGTGCGTTCTACCTTTTCTCCTGTGTTTGGGGCACGAGTATTCTTGTCTCTGTAAGTACACTTCCTCTTGTGTTTCTTATAAGACTGCAACTTAGCAAGACCAGTAAGTTTTCAACTTATCCTAATTTTAGCTGATTTTAATATTAAAGCACGGGCATGTTTCAGAATTCAGTGTGAATTGTATCAAAATTAAGTATGAAGTCCAGCAGCGTTACTGTTGCTCCATCTCAGTAAATTGAATTTGCTGTCACATGAATAAAATGTGCTTTTTAAGCTCCATTAGGGTACTTCATTCTCCATAGTTTTTCTGTGTTGGTTCATTATTGTAAAATAAATGTTTAATGTATTAGTTATGCAGTGCATTTTGGCAGCCTAGGGAACGGGCAGTGGACAAGTTGCTGTAGGCTTAGGTGAGCCCTGTCAGATGCTATGCACTTTGCTAGCACTGGGCTGTGTTTGTGCTCACCCCACTTTCTGCTTTTAGAAGAAAGGCATAACCCATCTCTTGTTCCCACTTACACAGGTGCTTAGGGAGAAGTATGTGGTTCATTGTAAGCTCCTAAGTTATTCTTCCCTTACAGGAATATAACCTATTGTTTAATTTGAAAGCTCATTTTCTAACAATGATTATAGAAACTTAAAATTTTCAAGAAAAAGGTAGAGTATAATATTTTTCTGTAGCACAATGACTCCTAAAAAAACTTTTCTTCTCTTAGTTAAGCTCAAAGCTTGTCAGCAGTTTACAAGGGAAGACTTCTATCTGTGGTGATGTTGAAATAACCTCCAGCTCAGAAGGAATCTTTTCTTCAATGAGCACTTGAATTGTTTATTGATCCTCATTTTTTTTTCCTTTTAGGCTAATACAGTTGTGTTTTGTTGTTTCAGTTTTGTAAATGGCAACGTATCAATCTGCAGCTTTTAATGCGTGTCAGTATTTCTGTGTGCACACATCAGATGTATAAAAATACATGTATGTGTGTCCCTTCGTTATTTCTAACTCAGAAACAGCAACGCTGTGTGACTTCAGAAGCTGTGCTTTTGTTTTTTAGGAGAACTATATATCAGATCCAACCTCTCTGTGGAGGGACTACCCACACACTCTGATTCCGTAAGGCCTCTTCCTTGAAGGACTGTTCTGGGGGAGGAAAGGGGTGTTGGCATTTTGAAGTCATATGGAAATTGCTGAAATTAAATTTGTCACTGATGTATTTTTTGTTTGTATTGACAGAGAAGCTTTATTCCCTGTCAGTGGGGAGTATACATTAATCCTTCTGCAGGCTGTTTATTTATAAAATGAAGCTGTGGTGAATTTGATTATTTGATCTTTTTGAGAACAAAGCTGACTGGCAACAAGGATCTCTGTTTCTCTTTAGAGATAACAATTAAATATATTCACTAGAAAGTTTCTGGAACATTTTAAGTTTATGAAGAGAAAGTAATATTCTTCAATTCTTGCTGTATTGTACAGGTTTCAAATGAAGTTTTTCTACATCTTACAGTTGGCATACTGGTTTCATGCTTTCCCAGAATTGTACTTCCAGAAAACTAAAAAAGTAAGTTCAGAAAGCAAATGGAAAGAATGCCAAGCAAAGCAGCTCGAATAGTGGAGTGATTCATCCTTTTGGGAAAGTGTGTTACCCTACATTTGCAACCCCTTTCTTATCTGTGTACTTAAGCTTTTCCTTTTTGGAATTTTGATGCTCTGATGTACACGTGAGAAGCAAGTGTTTTGTTTTCACTTAAACCCCGTATTTCTGAAGTAAAATCACTGTGTGTCTGTTGTGTAAATACAAATCAGTAGCATATCCCATCTGCTAAAAGAACTTGAATTTTCCTTTGAACAAATGATTGGGAGATGGTTTTTGTTTCAGAATCTTTTCTTGTTTTCTGTAATTACTTGTCTGAATAATCTCATTGAAATACAGAAATGTACAATACAGGAATCACAATACAGGTATTCTATTCGATATAGGTACTGAATAGAAGCAGTGAATAATGTGCTAAATCCAAGCACTATAAACTACTGAGATTTGTTGTAAATACCACTGTCCTCAGCAGAATTTCTAGTTAGTAGTGCAGTGAGTATTTGAACAGCATCTTTGCCACATGAGAGTTTTGTCCATTGTGTTTCTCAGAATTTAACTGCTCACATTGAGTTCACTGTAGATTTCTGTAGCAGTTTTTGCTTTTCTTGACCAACACAAATAGTCTCTTTGCATGTTCTTTGCTCAGGCTGTCTTTGCATGCACAGCTTCCTTTTAAAAACTCTTCTCTTGTTGCTCTGTGACTAGATTGAGTTTCTGCTGTCAGGATTCTGCTTCATTCAAGGAAATGAAATGTATGTTAGGTAACCACAGGTCTTTATTCCAGGACCTAGAGCAGGCTTGGGAAAGTAGTAATGAGGTTTGTTTTCATGCTGATTGCAGTATCAGCAGTGATGTTATGCATGTATTTCAGCTGATGCTCCAATATTACCACACTGGGGCAGTGATATCTCTAGAACTTGAATTAATATTTAAGTATTGGTTGGCTCTGTTTTTTGTTTGCTTTAATGTGACTTTATGAAAGCTGCCAGAAAGTGGCAGAAATGCTGTATGCTTAATAGTAGTATTTTGTTTGGTCATTTGGGTTCTTAGTTTTTTGGTTAAGTTTTAAGGCTATTTGTTTTATTTTATCACGTTTTGAGTTGACACCCCCTTACCACAGTTTCACCTCTCCTGTCTTGACTTCCCTGCCTTACTTCTCATGCAGGAATTGGCTGCTTTTGCTCAGGTCCAGTTATTTCTAGTCCTGACATTTAAAAAAGAAAAATATAGGGGGTTCTCAACTCTGCTTTTTGTGTAGTGGTGGATAACTCCACCTGAGTTATTCCAATAGGCCTTAAGTCTGGCAGTTTATGTAAGCAGGCAGCTGAGGCTATTTAAATGTTACCTTTGTTCCAAAAATAAAGTGCAAAAGGCTTGTTCTGGTAGTACTTGGAGAACCACAGTGTTTGCAGTGAGTACACTCGTGTTTTCTCTGCACAACCTGTTTTTTATTTTCTTTGGGACCACTTAGGTTTTTAACTATATTCCCTCTCTCTGTGTTGTTAGGTGTTGTAACAGGTATTTCGTCTTGTCAGCTTTGAGGTAAAGTATTGGAGATGTAGAGTAGGTCTTAAAGGATGACATTTTTAGGAGGCTTTCTTGTGTTTCTTTGGTTGGTTGCATTTACGTGCATGCATGATAAAACTGAAAGCCCCTTACCTGAAGCGTAGGGAATCTTTAAAGAAGTTGGAGTTCTTGAGCACAAATGAATGTATTCTACCTACCATTTCAGAATGAATACTCATACTGTGATCTAGTATACTTCAGTGAGTTTTCTTTTCTCAGGTGATGTTTGTATCACTGCTTAGTGATGTTATTCTGTTTACTGCCAACAGTGTACCAGAATCATGAATGATCTTGAATTTTTTTAAATGCACAACAACAGTTGTAAACTTCTTTTTGGTTCATAGACTTTTGTTCTATTCCTGTAACGATCTGACAGAATCCAAATGGCAGAAAATGTGTCAAACTACAGAAGTTTATCTGGAGACACAATAATTCATACCAATTATGTACTTATTGTTAATAACTGCTGCAAGTTCAGATAAGTCTTAACAAAGAATTAAATTCATCTTTTGAAATGCATTTTCAAATGCATTTTCTCACAAAAGTGTATGTAAAAATACTGTATGTTACTGGTAAGTAAGCAGTAAGTGGTGTGGAATTAGAGGGAGTAACTCAGTGCCAAAACAGGCCACGTGGGGTAGCTGAGAAGATGATCGTTTCTAGGACTAGGAAGCAATCTGTACTGTAACATTATATAGCATTGTGTGTAATGTATGTTTATTTGTTTCTTTTCAATAGGAGGATATCTTTCGCCAAATTGTCTACATTGGACTTTATCTCTTTCATATTGCTGGAGCCTATCTTTTGAAGTAAGTAATGTATAAGGTTTTATTGTCTTCAATCACTTAAAATGTTAAAATGTAACAAAGCATTTGAATGGATGTTCTATTTGTTTTAATAGTCTGACCCACCTTGGACTTGTTCTCCTGGTATTACATTACTTCGTTGAATTTCTTTTCCACATATCTCGTCTTTTCTACTTTAGTGATGAAAGATACCAGAAAGGGTAAGTAGTCAGCAATTTTCAGATTCAGGTAACCTCTGTCTTGCAAATCTCGTGCATTTTAACTAAGAGGAAGCCAGAATTACAGGGAAGGTTGTCTTGTATTTCCTTAGAGGCCACTGTCCTCCAGACTAAAAAAAAAACTTTTTTTCTTTTTTTTTTTTTTTAACTTACTCTCCTGTATAAGTGGATGTTAGTAGCTATGTAAAATGGAGTTAAATCTCATACTACTTTTATTAAGTCAAAATAAAACATTTTCCAGGTACAAGTCTTGTAGAAAAGGCAACAGCCTGGGCTGCTAATGCAGCCGGTTCTAAATAAACTCTTAACACAGTCATGTTCTGATAGTCACAGTAGGCACTTTCTGTTGAGATGAAAATAATTTTCAGAACAAAGTTTTGGTTTGTAGGAAAAAAAATCCTAAGTGAGGCGTTTCTTAATTTTTGTCTTCTGTAATAACTAAAAATAAAGGATTAGGACAAGTGAAAAATAACTGAGTCGAGTTCTTAACTCTCAGATGAGTTCTTAGAGTTAGGAGTATCTATTTGCCTTGTTAGTACTTGTGCTGTGAGCAGAGAATTCATATAGTGTTTGTGGTCTTTCTCTTTGCAGATTTTCACTGTGGGCAGTCCTTTTTGTTTTGGGAAGGCTTCTCACCTTGATTCTTTCTGTCCTCACTTTTGGCTTTGGTCTGGCAAGAGCAGAAAATCAGCAGCTGAATTTCAGCACTGGAAACTTCAATATCCTGGCTGTTAGGTACAGTAAACTTGGAATGGTTCCTAAGCATGATCTGTAAGCCTGTGTGAAACCTGTGTAGTGTTAATGCTGGTAGTATTGAATGGGATCAGTGGGCATGGCTTTGGTTTTTAAAAAAATAAATAAATAAAAAGCTTGTCAAGCACATTGAAGTGAATGGAAGAATTTACAGTCTGTCACTGAGAAATCTATAACTGGTTACAAGTTAGGAAAATAAAACAAGATTAAAAGGAATATCCAGCTGTAGAGATGCCTTTCACACCTTAGAGTTATTAAATCGAACAATAAATAATTGCAGTGACAATTGGACATCATATCCAAGCATCTTTGAATCTGGTTGAAGATTCTCACCACTTTCTCTCCCTTTATTATGACTTTTATTGCTGCTGCCTGATGCAGTGGTTGGTTCGGCCAACCATTCAGCCTTTTTATGAATTAAATGCATAAAAGGAATTTATTAAAACATTGCCAGTGTTCACAGTACCCTGCAGTCTAACTATTCAGAACTGGAGGACCCGTGTTCCATCCTGGAGGAGTTCAGGGTGAGATTGGATGGGGCCCTGGGCAGCCTGGTCTAGTATTAAATGGAGAAGTTGGTGGCCCTGCCTGTGGCAGGGGGCTTGGAGCTTCATGATCCTTGAGGTCCCTTCTAACCCTGGCCATTCTGTGATTGTGTGTTCTGGTGGCAGGTACCTTGAGTGTTAGAGAAAGGAGAAAGCAGAAAAGAAACTTACTGCTTTTCAGTTTTGATGGAAGTATGAAGTCTTTGCTCTTAGTACACATCCAGTTTTGTTCTGCTGTGTTAAGCCCACTAACTCTTGCATCTGTGGAAAAATGGGTGTTACGAGGAGCAGAGGAAAACCTCCTAGCCAGAAAGCACGAAACATTTACTAATGTGTAGTCCAGAAAGAACAACTCTGTTGCACTGGAGGAAACAAAGTAAAAAGGCCGTTTCTGATGTACAAAAAAAACTGTATGATGTGCTATTCTGCTTTCCTTTTTTCTTTGAACAAGGTGGACTTACTGCTAAATCTGTACCTGTTTCTTTTTCAGAATCAGCGTGCTGGCCTCCATCTGCTTGGCTCAAGCATTTATGATGTGGAAATTCATTAATTTCCAACTTCGGAGATGGAGAGAGCATTCTTCTTCTCAGCCTCAATCGGTGAAAAAGAAGTTTGTCACAGCTAAGGGAAAGACTTCCAGAAAAGAAAGAGGTTTGTATTTTCAAGTTTCCTCTTACTTTGGTGTCTCGAAAGCAACTTCAGATTACAGAGAACCTTTTATGATAAAACTGCTGAAGTAATTTCTGTGTTCTGCTCTCCAATGGGAAGGTTCAGTTACAGAAGCAGTATTGGTGAATTTATTTTATTGATTAAAAAAAAAAAAATCTTGATCTAGAAAAAGTGGGCTTGGCTTTGTTTTGTAATTGATGGAATGAAGGAATCACTGTTACAGTTATTACAGCTTTGCAATTTATTGTGTCTAATCTTATTGCATGAAATCTGTCGTGCTCATGTTGTTTTCAGTTATAAAAAGGGAGGAGACATTTTTAGATGTTCCCGAGATCGCTCTTCAGTTCTTTTTTCTTGCAATGAATTTCAGGCGTATTTTTCTTTGCCACTGAGTGAAGATCCAGTAAATAAGCTCGTGTTGGGCTGTCTTTACTAATAACAGCATTTTGATGTTTCTTTTAAAGGCTTAGGTAACAACTGCTTACTACTTTAATCTTTAAGAGCTTTTGGAAATGAATTGATGGTTTGTGTCACTCTTAGGGGAAGATGAAAGATGAACAATCTGCCATTTCCTCCAATGAAATTATGTACTCAGTTTACGTAGATAAATCTGTTGTACAGTTGAGCTTCTATGTAGTTAAGTGCTAGCTTGAATAATTCCTGAACTTCTTTGAAACAGTCACCTCAAAAGCTTATTTCCACGTGATCTTTTGCTTGTTGCTAACCTCTAATGCTTTTTCAATACATTGAATTTACTGCATGAAGACAGTTGTACTGAGAACTGAGATGTGTCAGAGGTGGATTTTCAACTTTTAAGGTGTCTTTTTTGTATTAAAGTCATGCTTTAGATTCTTACATCATTTTGGTTGTTTTCGATTAGCACTATTTTGTGTTTGTCCATTGTTAGTTTTTAGGTTTTGTTGCCCATTGCTAACATGCACATATTTTTACTTCAGCTGACAGATTTCAGACCTTGATTTTTATATTATTTTTTGAGTTTGTTTTGGGTTCTTGGTGGGCAGAGTGTAGGTTTTCACAATATACATGAGGTGGTATGTATATGAGATGATGATCTCCCTCTCTACTCTGCCTTCGTGAGGCCCCATCTGGAGTTCTGCATCCAGATCCAGAGCTCCCAATACAACAAAAACAGGAAGCTGTTGGGGAGGGTCCAGAGGAGAGCCATGAAGATGATCAGGGGACTGGAGCACCTCCCCTACAAAGACAGGCTGAGGGAACTGGGCTTGTTCAGTCTGGAGAAAAGAAGGCTGCGGGGTGACCTCACTGCAGCCTTTCAGTACCTAAAGGGAGCCTACGAACAGGAGGGGAATCAAGTCTTTGAAAGGGTAGATAACAGCAGGACAAGGGGAAATGGTTTTAAGTTGAGGGAGGGAAGATTTAGGTTGGATTTCAGGGGGATGTTCTTTACCAGGAGAGTGGTGAGGTGCTGGAACAGGCTGCCAGAGAGGTTGTGGATGCCCCGTCCCTGGGGGTGTTCAAGGCCAGATTGGATGGGGCCCTGGGCAGCCTGGTCTGGTATTAAATGGGGAAGTTGGCAGCCCTGCCTGTGGCAGGGGGTTGGAACTTGGTGATTCTTGAGGTCACTTCCAACCCAAGCCATTCTATCATTCTGTGATACTAGAAAAAAATAGGAGTGGCATTTTTATCAATAGAACTTGTAGGTGTCCAACTGAATCAGAGCTTAATGTTCATTTATTACTTTGTTTTACTTGTGGAATTCGTTTATATATCTGCTATTTAATCAGTGAGTTAAAATGTTCAAAGTTTTCTTAAATTTCATTGATTTAATTTGGTAAACTTGTAGTTAACTTGAATTATGATTGAATTCACATAATAATTGAGCTATGACTGCCTTAAAGACCCAGGAATTTTGCAGCTTATTTTAAATTGGAATTCTAAAGAAAAGGTTGATCCCAAAGGCTGGTGTTGTTTTAGACTTTTCTGTTTGGAAGATTCCTGTAACATTGTTGACTCAGAACATTTGCACAAGATGTGGTGGTTTTTTTCTGAGAACTAAAACATTGCAATTAAGTTGCATTTCAAACAGGGTTTTTTTTATGTTTGTTTTTGGGGGGAGCTGCATGTGAGTGTGGCAGGCTGCATTTGGGGAGCCAGGACACAAAATGCCTTTCTTTTAGACTGTGCCAGAAGCAAGCAATAATAGTGGGAAAATGTTGGTGATCTGTGTATGATGCCCAAGCACTTGCTGATTTGTGTTCTTTCTTTTCACTTGTTTTGACTTAACTGTTAAGAGAATGTGATCTCTGCTGGTTTGGATCTAGATCACTATTTGTAAGCTTTATAAATCAAGAATAACCAAATTTTTTTGAGAGGAGCCCAAAAAGCCTGACATAAGCTTGAGATGATGGTGTCATTTACACCCAAATAAAGAGGCTCTGGCTGTTCCTCTATGACTGATCAGGCCTGTGACCAGTTTCCTTCTCACTTGTATTGCTGCTTGGTTGATTGGTTTTGTTTTTGTTCTCCTTTTTACTTCAGTTGCTTGTTAGCATGCGTGGGAGCTTTGGGTGCAGGAAAGGGGGGGAGAAGGAATATTTGCAGTTATTTCTGTGGATTGGCCACTCCTTCTGATGATCTGCAGCACTTTTGGAGATGGAAAACATGAATTTAACCTGTTATCTGTACGGGAAGTTATAGCAGTTGCTTTAAATCAAAATGGTGGTGCAAGTTAGTTGAGCAGAGATGCAAGCAGTAAAGCTGACTATGCACTTCTGCTCTTCTGGTCTGTTTTATAAATTTGGTTGCTGTCAGGCAGCAGCTGTGCTTCCGTGGGCTGTGGTGACATTAAGTAGAGGGGATGCTTTCGTTCATAGCGGTATCACGCTGCTCTGTTCCACTCTTTTGAGGACATGATAGATCCATAGACGTTGGGTCATTGCTGAGAGCAAATGTTTGCTGTGCACAGGTACCACTTGTTGACTATTTCATGTTAAAACTCTTGAGCTGACCCAGATGTGGGATACAAGTAAAGAACTGCTGATGGTATCAGGTTCTTGCTTTGTGTTCTTAAGTATCTAAGTCCTATGCTTGAGCTCCTTCTATACTTTTCTTATGTTTTAACTGATGTTTTACTTCCATCCATCTTATCTATTTTAAATATTTTCTTCAGAAAATAAATGACCTCTATATTTTTTTAAGGACATGATTAATTAACCTTAATTTTTCTACATGTATACAAAGCTTGTAAAGGTGAGTAAAGGAGTGCAAGTTTCTTAGGCATTAAAAAATGAAATAGGAAGAATGATATGAGGGGTGTACCGTCGGACTCCAGAATTTCACATGAATGTCTTACCAACAAGTTGAATATTTCTCTTTATCAGAGAATATCTAGCTAATCTTGATTTTCAGTTTATAATACATGTAACACAACCATGTCAGTATTTGGCCATGTCAGCAAACTGTGCTTCAGTTGTCTGAGTAAACGTTATATTGTGCAGTTGGTAAAAGCTTCGTTATGCTATTGTATTATCATAGAATGGCCTGGGTTGAAAAGGACCACAATGCTCATCTAGTTTCACTCCCTGCTGTGTGCAGGGTCGCCAGCCACCAGACCAGGCTGCACAGAGCCACATCCAGCCTGGCCTTGAATGCCTGCAGGGATGGGGCATCCACAGCCTCCTTGGGCAACCTGTTCCAGTGAATAAATGGTAACAAATGGTATGGTTCCAATTATAAATGGTAATGATGAGATTTAACAAAATAGATGCATCAGAGAAGAAGTTAATGACTGTTTAGGACCTACTAAAATGTAGTAAAATAATAAAGTGTCTCATTCTACTTTATTTTTATTTTTTTTTTTTTGTAGAAAATGGAATAAATGGGACAGTGACCTCAAATGGAGCAGACTCGCCTCGTAGCAGGAAGGATAAATCCTCGTAAAACTGGGTTTTATTAAGTTAATTGACAAGTGTCCCCAAAGAATCTGCTTTTTACATGGATGGCCCTTCAGCACTAGAGATGTAATGGATTAAAGAAAATACAAATCATGTTTTTTGATTATTGCTATTGTTTTGTGAAACTTTTTTTAAAAGCCATTTTGACTAAAAGAAAAGGTTTATCTGTCTTCAAACAAACGCTTGGGGGGTGGGGGGACAAAACACTTTTTAAATAACATTGACACTTTTTTAAACACTTACTGTGATGAAATAACTTCACTTAATGAGGATCACTGATGCAATGTATTATTTCTTTCCAGTTTTTGTAATCTTGGTGATATATACTGTTTTCCAACTTCACTTTTTCCTAGTTCTTCAAAACTTCAAATATATTACAAAATTGAAGTAAAAATGTAGTATGCATTTTCAGATACTCTGACTTTTAAGTTAGTTGATTCAAATTCACAGATCAAATTGGAATTCTAGGACCACAAAAGTAAACTTATTTTATTTTGTAGTTGCTAGCTACACGATGTCTGCTCTAAGAATTGCCCCATATCATTAAAACAAAACTGAACTGATTGGAAATGTTGCAGAGTCTTATTGCTCGTTGGTTAGAAATGTCTTACAAGGAACAGAGAAACCTTTCTGAGATAAAGCTTTAGCACTTGAAAATTAGAAGGGAAAAGTGTATGTCGTGGAGTTGATTTGAGTAGCACTGTTAACTCCTGTCTGTGCTTTTAAAGTGTACATATCTTGGACAGTTACCGTGCGTTGGACCTTCTTCCAAAACCTGTCTTTCTGATTTTAGAGGGGGAGATTCTTACACTGTGTTGTTTGTTTTAGATGGGGAGGCATCTAATGCTCCACGAAGAGGGAATTTGTTAGATAAATGGATCAAGTTTTGACAAACATTCCTCTATTCTAAATGCTTTGCCTTGTTTCGCCTCTGTTAGGAAATAGTTTGATTTCTCCTATATATATATTTTTATGAGAGAATATTTAAAAGCTACAACTTCTTAAAACTCGTATATTGTGTGTGCCCTTCGCTACGGCTGGAGGAATCTGGATTTAAGATTTTTTCCATTATCTGTCTTTCAGAATTGTATTAAATGTGAAGCCTTGTCCAGCTAATTTTTCAATTTAATATGCAGTTAATGTTTTTCTTGTGTATCCTTTTGTAATGGGAACCATTTGACTTGGGAATGAGTTAAAGATTTTTATTCAGTCTTGACGAGTTACTAAATCAGGCTTTCAAGTTAACCCCAGTATTGGAATGCTTATGGATTGAGTAGGAGTAATTATAAGCAATCAAACTGAGAAATAAACAGATGAACTAAAAATTGTTACTTTAATTGAGTTTATGCCCAACAACAACAAAAAATCTGCATTCTGTATCTTACACAGTTCGGTTGCTTACTATACAGAATAAAATTTCTAGTGCAAAATATTGACTACATGTAACTATCTGTTCTTCAGTCATACAGTGCTATTTAGTGTTACTACCATTTAATTTGTTACGTGTTCCAGGCAGTTCAAGTCACAGTTTTGAGTACTTGCTTCACAGCTCCTGAAGTGTACTTGGCAGACTTGGACTTAGTTAACTTGAGAACCCTGGAGCTGCACGCCCTTTAATGCTCCCAATCTACTTCAGTAGGTGTAGTTATTTTTATGTACTGATGGGAAAAAAAGAAAAGTGATGGAACTGTGAGTCTATCCAATCTGACCATGAAACTGGAAATTCGGAATACAGAAATGCTGAGGGAATTGATAAATGAAATACTGCACAAAATCACATTTCACATCTGATATTTCTAACAGACGTGCATAGATTCTGTGTGCCTTGCTCTCAAGTTGTACCTTAAGCCAAAAGGGGCAAATGTTTAAAGTTTCTTGTCTGGTACTTTGACTTGTAAATCAGGTTTGCGTGTGATACATCCGGTTGTCTTGGTATTGTCAGAATCATAAGAGATGGAGAAAGAAATTATAGAGGGTGCTTTTAAGGTACTTCTTCAGCTCTTTGATACATTGGAGTCTGAGGATTGTGATTGCTGTGTCCCTAAAGGAACTGTTTTTGTAAAGCTCATTGTTTGTCACGGGAGTCTTGAAACGTCAATTGTAGATTCCCTTCTAAAAACTTCAGAAGAGTGTGTTCTTGCCTGTTAATATTGACATTGCTTTTGTCTCCTGTTGGCCTTATGGATGTTCTCGGCCTTTGGACTTCACAAAAAGAATTTTTACTTCCACGATGGCTTGATCTTCATCTTTGCCTTATAGGACTTGTTGCTTTCTGATGAGTAATATAGAATGATTTCTCTTGTTCTTGGGTTTGAACAGAGCATTGAATGCCAGTTTCTTTCATCTTCTTACGTCATAGTTAAAAATGCCCATTGATAGTTTTGGAGGAGGCATTCCTGACTTCCTGCAGAAGCAATAATTTTTTAATTTCTACCTTGTGCTGAAAACCTCTGTGAATTTAGAACATTCTGAGATTTCTGTTTCCGATTTGTTACTTGCTTTGGCATAAGGTTGTTCTTTCCTGTTTGGATAACTTCTTTTGAGTTGCTTACAGTCTGATTTTCAAACCTTACCGCATTTCATCTCTCTTTGTAATCTGGGATTCATTAGGATAGGAGATTAGTTGTCTAATAATGCTTTCAAAGTTACGGTATCAGGAAAATCAGAAATGGAAATGACTGAAGAGTTTGTTATTGCGCTCCTATGCCTCATTGTAATGCTTTTTGCTTAGGCTGTGGCAGTTTATCCTGACCAGTTACTAGATCCCACAAAGAGAAGGCTTTGTCCATGTAAATGGATGTGAAGAGAATGATCCATACAGACTGTGGTTAAGGGTTTTCATTTCATGATCCATACAGACTGTGGTTAAGGGTTTTCATTTTATTGTCATACCTCTCTCCCCAACCTTGGAAGAACTCTTTCCTAACTGATGATCCTGAGCCTCTTTTTTATTTTTATGTTTTTCTTTTTGGCCCTAAATGTATCTTTGCTTTATGTACAGAATTAGTTACCAAAGCTGGGACTTTACTGTTACTAAATAACATTATGCAACTTAGAAGTGTAAACAGAGACTGCAGAGCTGCTGACATTCATTTTCAGCATTTGCAGTTTTCTGCTCTTGTTAGTACACTTATTTCTCACGACTAGTTAAAAAGAGTGATTTCTCATGTGTAAATTATTTGTGAGGGTGACACTTCACAAACTGCTTTCTGTGTGATCCCGAGCCCAAAGTTAGGAGTGATCAAGGGAAGGGAGTCGTGCAGAGAGAATGCGTAGGTTATGGTGTTACAATACACTGTGAGTAAATGAAGTATGTTGGGGTAATGTATTTAGAGTATCAGTCATTATGAAGCATCTGATACTCTTTCCAAAATGCTTTTTTGTTTGAAAATATTAGTTGTGCTAATGAAATTACATCATCTTGAATTCTAGGAAGTAGTTTGGTACTTTGATAAAAGTAATCGTCCTCCTGTTATCAGACTGCTTTAAAAAGAGTTAGCGTACATTTTCAGCCCTTTTAGCAAATAACTTAGCAAAAGTAACTGCACCCGAAGCAGTTTTGCTGGGAGTCAAATTTGGTGTTGGAGGGAAGGAGCATTTTCATGGCTGTGCTAAACTTAAAATACTGTAAGTTGCTGCCAAAAAGTGCCCCTTCTCTTTTTCTAGCACAAAGATTTTTTTATTGCACGGTCAGCTCAATCAAGGAGCTGGCGCAGCTGTAAACTGCCATGTTTGCTGAGTTATTTCTTGACTGAATTAGTTGCCTGAGAGTAATCCTGGAGGTACACAAGTCTTTATAGATAAGCAAGGAGATGCTGGAAAAACGTGCATGAAGGCGTAAGGCAATTGTTGCTTTCAACTGCACTTTTTTTGGTTGAAAATGACAGATTACACTATGTGTAAGTTGGAAGACTTTATTGAAGGGCTTCCAGTCTCCAACACAAGAAGGAAACTGCTATCTGGTAGCTCTGACATGCCAAACTGATTAAGTATTTATGGCTTTCTGCCAGGTATTTTGGTGAAGGGGAAATAATCAGTATTCTGTAGTGAAATGCATTTTCTCTGTCTCAGTTCATGGGTTTCCAAGCAGTGGAACTGGAAGTGTAGAAATAGGAATTCTGAAAATGTAATTTCTTCTGGATCAAGGACCAAGATTACTTTCTTTAGCAGCTGGGAAACTACAGCTTCTTTTCACTGTGAACCCTTCGTATGTTAAAGCAGGTCTTCCAAAGAGCTTTGCAAGAACTGCGTTGTCTTTCTGTTGAGCAATCTGGGAGGGAGGGTTGTTCTGTTTCTCTTAAGTTTGTTATTCTGTTTTCAGGATGCTGGCTAGCCCATTTCTAGCTCATTCTTATGTTTTGTTCCATTTGTGACTCGGCCCTTGACCTGTGCTCAGAAGGTAGAAAGCAGCAGCTTCCATGGCTGCTCTCTTTGTGTTGGTCATTGCTGGCCTAATGGTTCTTTGTGGAAAAAGTCAGTATTGAAGGAGTTAGAACACCAGGTAGACAGACAGTCATACTGCTTGTTTGAGGTACAGGCACGGTGCGAGTCAGCAAACAGAGCATACTGCGTTCTAGTGGCTGGTAGTTTGATGCCTGTAGGTTCTGTAACAGTTATCCTATTATTCAAGTGCTGAAGTGATTTCTTGCACTGGGTGTGACTGTCCTACAGAGCTAAGTCTGGGGGGGGGGGATTCTGAAAAGATCCTTTGAAAAGAATAGGACTCTTAAAAGAACTGATGTCCGTTATCATCTGTCCATTGTGTCTGAATTTCTCCTGTTGTTGTTTGGGCTTTTGTTGTGGTTGTTCTTGGCTTTGTAGCTTTTTTAGTTTTCTTGTTCTGCTATAGGTGGTGATGGATCTCTGTGGTGGGTATACCCTCTTCTCATTGCTATCCCCCTTTTCCCTGCTCCCCGAACTACTCAATTTAGGATCTAATAAGCCTGGTTCTGTGCACGTTAAGGAATTTGGCATACTTTTCAGAACTAAAATAGAAGCAGTGCCTGAGTGTTTCTGGAGCAGACACGTAAGAAGAAAGAAGCACATTAAAGCAATATACAGGGTGTCATCAGAACCCGTTTAATGGGAACTGAAACTCTTTATAGCATGAATACATTTTGATACAACTTGTATTTCAAGTGAGGTGTTTGAATTTAGCTCACATTCAGATAGCAAGTGCCTTTCTGTCCACAAAACAGAACTACTATTAGCATCTACAACTGTCGGTTCCCGTTCTGTGAGTGATGGGTGAGGAGTCCTGGGCTGCAGCTGCAGGTGGGTTTTTTCTGCCTCTTAGGGAAGTTCTTTTGATGTCAACAAGAAAAAAGTTAACGACTTCTATTTCAGGTTGAAAGAAAAAAAAGAGAAAGTGCTACCTAGTTTTGGATCTAAGATGATTGCTCTTGATCTCGCGCAGTGTGTCCTGTCACTTTTATTTTGGGTACCTGCAAAGACTTTTATTTGTATCCAGCTCGAGAATGGAAAATCTGTGATGTGAGTGCCAGAAATGACAACTCCTTTTTCTTTTTATGTTAGGATCTTTTTGCAGAATCAGAGCATCTGA